AATAATGTAAAAATTCGTATGACATATAACTCAAAATTTTTTGTGTGACTATTCTTGAAAAAAAAAAATGCTTATTAAAAAAAAATTTTTTTTTAATAGAATTTTCTCTTTGTATTAACAATATTATTATTGTGTGAAATTTTTTTTCGTTTCGTTTAAAAAATTCCCAAGATATGGTGAAATATGAAAAAGAAAAATTAACATATTAAGGAGTCCAAACTTTGAAGCGCTCTCCTGACCAAACTATAGAGACCCTTTTTTCAAATTGCAGCTACTCCCATACTTTGGGGATCAGGAATCCAAATCTGTCAAAAAAAGGTACGTTTAGTCTGAGAAAATACGTTTTTGTTCTGATTTTGTAACTTAAAAATATCGTCTGCTCTAATTAGTCACCCCATCGAATCTTTAAGTTTGAGTCCAGGTACCCTAAGTTCCGATTATTAGATCAAAAGTTAATAAAGGTTTCTTCTTTCGCATTGTGCAGCTTTATGCTGTTCTTATTTTTTTTAAAATTCTTATTTTTTTAAAATTTAAACAATATAAAACTTTAAATCGAAATAAAATCGTTTTATAAGTTTTTGAGTTCTATTTTATCTACTAAATATTATTTTAAATATCAATTAAAATGTATATTACTTCTACATGTTTTTTAATTTGAAAAAATCTTATGTTTAGTTTTTGATGAATACTTTCCATCATCTTTCACAAAATTCGAATTCTTTAATATATTTTTAATTTCTAGGAATTTGCTTTTGTTTTATTGGGTATGATGCGTATATGCGTATTTAGGCCTTGTTAGTTTAATTCTCTTACACACGCATTTTGAGCTGTGTCCATTTTCTTAAACATGCATTCTGAGTTGTGTTCATTTTCTTAAACTTGCATTCGGAGTTGTGTCCATTTTCTTAAACATGCATTCTAAGTTGTGTCCGTTTTCTTAAACATGCATTCTGAGTTTTGTCCATTTTCTTAAACATGCATTCTGAGTTGTTTCCATTTTCTTGCTTTTTGAGGTTTGTCTATTTTCGTAAACATATATTTTCCTAAGCACGCATTTCGAGTTGTGTCCAAAATAAAATGCTAAAGTGGCAATTCTTAAATTCTTCAAACAAATAAATAAAAAGTATTTCCTGCTTTTATCGGAAACATGTATAAAAAGCATTATTTACGTAGTTAGTTTTCTTAATTTTATATTTCGGTTGCATTTATATGATTTTTTTTTTGTTGAAAAAGGGAGAAAAACTGAGAAAGAACTTTTAATTTAAACTATTTATAATTTGTCTAATTTTTATATCAGACAAGAAAACATTATCTTACTGAATCAAAATGAACTAACTTCTTGAAAATGAACATTAGAACATTTTCATTCTTTTCGTTTTCTCCCTATGCATTCGATATGAAATCCATTTGCCTGGAGCAACTTCATTTAGTCAGTTATTGGAAACCTTTTTTTTTATTGGAAATAGATAGTTTTCCATCTTTTAAAGTAATAGTAGTATTTTTATCCCAATGTTTTTGACATATTTTTGGATTTTCAGTTTTCTTTCCCTATATTAATGCGGATACTTTTAGCTATATTATTTTTTGTTCTTTGGAAAATTGTTTAAAAAACTGTTTTGTGTCAAATTGTTTTTCTATCTAATGATAAATAAAAAATTAGGTTATGATTAGACTATTTATTGTTTTGTTTCAAAATCACTTAAATTAAAAAAAACTTTTTAGTGACTTTTAGAGCCACTTGAATAGGCTTGCCAGTGAAAATGTCTATTCAAACTGGCTTTAGAAAGTTATGGGAAAAAAAGTTTTTAATTAGCATCACATAGCTAAATAAAGTTTAAAACACTTATCTTAAGTTAAAATAATATTGAATTATTATTAAATTACGCACTTCTGTGTATTATATAATGTAGATAACTATTCAAATTTTCTCATTAGTTTATCTACATTTATTTAATACACATAAGTGTGTAATTTAATATTAATTCAATGTTATTTTAGGTAAACAATGCTATTTTTATTTAATATTATTTTAACAACGCTGTTTAATAGTGAACTCTGCTTCGAATTCAACTTTTCGCATTACATCTGTTACACACACGCTTCCTGATTTACAATAGTTGGATAAGTAATTGTTTTCCCGTATCACACCCGTTTGCTACGAAATCGCTTTTTTATAGTATAAAATTTATACCACACTCGTTGGTTACTCATTTGCTTTCTTGCATCACACTTGTTTCTGAGGCATTAGCTTTTCTGCATTACACTCGTTGGTTACCTAGTTGCTTTCCGCATCACACTCGTTGGTTACTTATTTGCTTTCTTGCATCACACTTGTTTCTGAGGCATTAGCTTTCCTGCATTACACTCGTTGGTTACCTAGTTGCTTTCCTGCATCACACTCGTTGGTTACTCATTTGCTTTCTTGCATCACACTTGTTTCCGAGGCATTAGCTTTTCTGCATTACACTCGGTGGTTACCTAGCTGCTTTCCCGCATCACACTCGTTGGTTACTCATTTGCTTTCTTTTATCACACTTGTTTCTGAGGCATTAGCTTTTCTGCATTACACTCTTTGGTTACCTAGTTGCTTTCCCGCATCACACTCGTTGGTTACTTATTTGCTTTCCTGCATCTTTCTCGTTGATAATCTATTTTATTTACTGTATCACACTCGTTGGCTGACTAGTTGCTTTCTTGCATCACACTCGTTAGTTACCTGTAATAGTTGCTCTCTTGCCACACACCTGTTTCCCACACTTTTCCTTTTCTACTTTCACTCGTTGGGTACACATTTGTGTTCCCCCTTAACACTCATTTACTACGACTTTACTGTTCTGTATCACTCTCGTTGATTACATAGTTACTTATCTTGCATCACACCATTGAGTTAACAAAAGTTTTTCCTCTGTGTATTTTTTTATGTACTTTTTAAGTCTTATTATTTTTCATTCAATCAAACAAATTAGATGTTAAATGTTGACTGGCATTTTAATATTTAATTACTGAAAATTAATTTACTTTTTCCTTAAGCTTGTTTCGCCACATATTAGAACAGTTAAAAATATTTTTCAGCGTCGTTTTAAAAGCAATTATCTTCTAAGCTATTGATTGTATAAATCAAATTATAAACAAAATGCTAATGACCTACTGTTTTTTTTTATTGGCTTCAACCCTCGGAAAACACTTTAACTCAAGCATTTGTTTTGCCCCATCCCAAATGCAATGTTTAGAGCCTATTTTCGTGTAAAAATGGTTATTTGAATATTATGAATTTCTTTTTCGTTTTGAGTTACTAGAACTTTAAGGAAAAAAAAACTATAGCTATGTTTTTCTTAAGACATGATGTTGTGAGCTAAAATCATTATTTCCTTGTACTGTAAACATTGGTTCCAGATGTGTTCCATATTTTTCTTTTATACCCCCCCTTTTTTTTTTATCCTATCAACGAACTGTCTGATGTCTGAAACAATGTTTGACGTAGTTTCAGACATACTGTTTAGGCGTATTTTCTTGGTTTTTTGGACAACTTGTTTTTGTGGGGTTACATCAAAGATTATGTGTTCTTGTCCCTATGCCACGTGATTCAGCGGAATTATGATGAAGGATCATAACTGCATTCGCTAGCATTCATCGTAACATGCTGAGGCGAAATGACAAGAATTTGACTTTAGACTTGAAGTCTATACTTCACATATAAAATAATCTTCACATAATAAATATTCGTGATGAAAAAAAGTATGTCTGAAAGTATGTATGAGTGATACTTCTTTATCAGGTTACGAAACTTTTGTAGGTGTATTAATAATATTTTGTTTGTTATAAGCTTTGCAAAACCTTATAACAAAAAATAACCTTATAACCTTATAACAAAAAATTGTGAATCATCCTGTACAATACACGCAAATGCTTTTTCAAACATAGTGTTGTGTATTTTTTTAACTGTTCCCTTTTTATTCAATGCACGTAAATATTGTTCCAGGCGTAGTGCGTAAGCGTATTCACTCCCATCTTTTATTTATTTACATCTAATGTACTCAAATATTGTCTCAGACGAAGTGTTTCAGTATATTTCCTTGAACATTATATTTTTTAAAATTTCATTTACGAAAACACTGTTCCAGATGTTGTGTTTCAGTATCTTACCTTATGTATGTAAACATTATTCCAGTCGTATTATTTTCACGTATTTTCTCGCACCTTTTTTTTAAAAATCTAATGTTCTTAACTATTGCCCTACTCGTAGTGTTTCAGTATCTTTTTTTAATCCATTGTACGTAAACACAACTCCATATGTAGTGCTGCAGCGTACTTCTTTCTACCCTTTATTTTCTTTATAAGATGCACGCAAATGTTGTTTCAGAAATAGCAATGTATCATATTTCTTTGAATTGTTTATTCCTTTTTTATATCTAATGTGCGTAAACATTGTTTTAGACGCTAGTGTTTCAGTATATTGCTTTGAACCTTATGTTTTTTTAAATTTCATTTACGTAAATACTGTTCCAGATGTAGTGTTTCAGTATCTTACCTTAACATCTAAACATTATTCCAGGCGTAGTATTTTCGCGTATTTTCTCGCACCTTTTTAAAAAAAAATAATCTTATGTACTTAATTATTGCCCTACTCGTGGTGTTTCAGTATCTTTTTTTAAAAATCTTTTTTTAATCCATTGTACGTAAACACTGCTCCATATGTAGTGTTGCAGCGTACTTCTTTTTACTCATTATTTTCTTTATAAGATGCACGCAAAAGTTGTTTCAGAAATAGCAATATTTCTTTGTATTGTTTATTCCTTTTTTTTTATATCTGATGTGCGTAAACATTGTTCCAGACGCAGTGTTGCAGTATATTGCCTTGAACCTTATATTTTTTAAAATTCCATTTCAGTAAATACTGTTCCATGCGGAATGTTAAAGCGTACTGTTTCAACTTGTTACTATTTAAAATGAATAGTTGCTTGACTAATTATTTAATTTTATAATTTTTGTCTTCTTTTTAGATGGAGCAGTTGGTGTGCGAAATGCAACATCCTGAGACGGGGGTTCCGTTACGACGCCAAAAAGTTTTCCTGACTACCATTCCCTCGGCGTTTTTGGGTGAGTTATTATTATTTTTATTTAATGTCACACTGTTTAAAGATGCATGTTTTTAATAAAATTTAAATAACTAGGATGCTCCACTCGCCAACCTCTGTAATTGCTTCTTATTTATAATTTTTTAAAAATTTATTTCTAAATATAAATATTTCGAACAAAACACTGAACATTTTGGTATCAAAATATTCAATCACAGTAGATTTATGTAAGAATATTTTGTTAAATACCTTCGGGGTTACTGAATTGGAGATTGATTGTTCTCTGATACAGGTCAAAATTACAATCTGTGGATGAATTAATTGGTCCGCCCTATAAACGGACTGTGACGTGTGCGTGGCTGAAATCGTATTCTTGGTGATAGATGGCGTCACTGAAAAAAACAGAAACGCCTCCTCTGCCTTAAACTCGCTTGGTTTCACCTAGGAGGCTTGCTGATATTGGCTAGTGACATTAGAAAGAACAACAACATTTTAATAATGTACCAATCGTAATTAAATCGACGATTATCTAGATTTGAAAAATAATCACTTGTTCTTGAAAAAAAAATAATCTAAAGGAATACAGAGAGTAAGACACAAAAAGAAGAAATAAATCCGAAGTAATTTTACTATTTTAAGAAATTTGTAACAATTCAAATAGGGAACTGTTTTTATCGCTATTTATTAAATTTTTCTTGTTTTTAAAAATTTTACAATGAATGTTAAGATTTATATTAAGCAACATATCGCTGGTTCAAAACTAAAACGACACTTTTGCAATCACTTCTCATTCAAATAACATGAGAGGTCAGTGCGGAAGTGTCGTTTTAGTTTTGAACCAGCGATATAATTTCTCTCTTTTTCTGTTACTTTAGATTGACATCTTCTTGAGAGTGAGATAATAAAAGACAGAAATTAAAATCTCGTGAGGAAAAAAACTAATTTTCTACAACAATGATTAAATAGTCAACATTTATAACAAAATAGCTAAAAGATATAACAAAAGAGCACTTAAATTTACAATAACTTTCGAAAAAAAATATTCTCGCTAAAATTATTAGACAAAATGGTATTATTTTCACACCAAATTTCAACTGTGTAGTTGCATTTCAGCGGACAGAAAAACGACAAACATGTTTTTTTTAAAAAATTTCTTCTACTTTTTTCTATACACCTTACTAATTTCAAGTTTCTAAGTCTTATAGAATTTGAGTAGCAGAACAAAATGTAACGTTAACTTGAAAACCCAAAACAGCGGCGGCGTTGGCCATTACGATTTTTTTTATATATAGAGACATTTTGATTATTATTTCATTTATTTAAACTTCCAGCCTTTTGCAATGAAAATGAAATCTTGAATGATTTGTTAAATTAATGATATCCATGCTAAATTAATGCCCCGTGCTGATTTATTATTAATATTTTTTTCTAATATTGCGGTTTTATTCTTTTCTCTCATGTTGTGTTTCTTACTCTATTCTACTATCTTCAAATAAAAGATTTTATGAAATTAATGACTTTCATCTCGCTTTGTCCCAAATCATCATACTTTTATAAACATTTTTTTTATTCTCTTGGAAAGCACAGCAATAAAAAACAACTGTATTATGAAATATTATGTATATGTCTACGAAACATGAAGCTTTTATTTATTTAATGAATTGTTTATAGTTTTAAAATGAGTTTATCTTAGGTATATATAATATGTATGAAATGAGACTGACTTTTTTGTAATAATAATGGAGTTTACAGTTTTAAAAGGAAATTACACTGGAAAAGCTAAATAATCGTTTAACTCAATTTTTTTTAAACTTTAAACTATCAACTGAACTAGTACATAACGGTTAATATTTATAATGTTAAGTATTTAAAAAATATATATACTACGATTTATATTTAAAAATTCCGTTTTACGACATTATCTATTAATAGTACGATAATTTTTTAATAATATGAATTTTTTTCTAATTGTGAAGTAAAAACATCTAGAAAAAATTAATTAAAAACATCTAAAAAAATTAATTAAAAACATCTAGAAAAAAAAATCAATTCTGTTATTTATACAGAAGAAAGCTTACTGCTCACTTTCTAAAGAAATCACTGGCCAATGACTCCTTTCCGCTTCCTCCGTTTAAATTGTGCAATATTTATAATGTTAAGTATTTAAAAAATGTATATACTACGATTTATATTTTAAAATGTGTTTTACGACATAATTTAATGATAGTACGGAAATTTATTAATAATGTGGATTATTTTTTCTAATTGTGAAGTAAAAACATCTAGAAAAAATTAATTAAAAACATCTGAAAAGTTACTTAAAAGCATCTAAATTAATTGAAATTAATTAAAAACATCTAGAAAAAATTAAATTCTGTTATTTACACAGAAGAAAGCCTACTGCTCACTTTCTAAAGAAATCACTGGTCAATGACTCCTTTCCGCTTCCTCCGTTACCATGGCAAACTAAATTTAACCCCATTTCTAAAACAGAATAAACACATAATATTAGCATAATCCAAGCAGATTTTGGGCTTCTATAGCTGATCTATAACATTTTTCAAATCTAGTATAGTGAANTCCTTGTAATTCGGGTTCGATAAAACATCGATTAATGACACTTTTTGGTCGATCCAGAAAACTGGGAAATTCAGACATCCGGGATAGCGATGGTCCCGAGCATCCCAGATAATTGGTTCTCTACTGTATAAATATTTCTTGTAATTAATCTCACTATCAATTTCACTGTTTTCTTTGCTGGTTTGTTGTTGTATTGTTGACGTGAAGTGTTTACATAGTTATCGATCGAACTAATCATAATGGTATTATCGATATCAACTTCAATATCGGCAGTATGTCGGTATTGCAGATAAAGTTCGATAAACAAATTCGTAAATTAAAATCCATATTAATAAAAATGTAAAAAAAAAATATGCAAGAAAATTTTAGCATATATTTTGAAAAGAAGGGAGGAGTGGGGGAAGGAGGGGAGGGCCCAAAAACGGCTATGCCTAGGGCCTACGAAAGGTATAATCCGGCTCTGTGCCTAGGGCCTACGAAAGGTATAATCCGGCTCTGGCTTTGTCCCAAATCATCATACTTTTATAATTTTTTTTTTTATTCTCTTGAAAAGCACAGCTATCAAAAACAACTGTATTATGAAATATTATGTATACGTCTATGAAACATAAAGCTTTTAATTTATTTAATGAATTATTTATAGTTTTTAAAATGAGTTTATCTTAGGTATATACAATATTTATGAAATGAGGCTGACTTTTTTGTAATAATAATGGAGTGTACAGTTTTAAAAGAAAATCACAATGGAAATGCTAAATAATCGTTTAACTCAGATTTTTTTAAATTTAAACTGTCAACTGAAATCTAGTATAATGGTTAATATTTATAATGTTAAGTATTTAAAAAATATATATACTGCGATTTATATTTAAAAATTCCCGTTTTATGACATTATCTATTAATAGTACGGTAATTTATTAATAATACGGATTTTTTTCTAATTGTGAAGTAAAAACACCTAGAAAAAATTAATTAAAAAACATCTAAATTAATTAAAATTAATTAAAAACATCTAGAAAAAATTAAATTCTGTTATTTATACAGAAGAAAGCTTACTGTTTACTTTCGAAAGAAATCACTGGTCAATGACTCCTCCGTTTATATTGTGCAATATTTATAATGTTAAGTATTTAAAAAATTTATATACTACGATTTATATTTAAAATGCGTTTTACGACATAATTTATTGATAGTACGGAAATTTATTAATAATATGGATTTTTTTTTCTAATTGTGAAGTAAAAACATATAGAAAAAATTCATTTAAAACATCTAGAAAAAAATTAAATTCTGTTATTTATGCAGAAGAAAGACTACTGCTCACTTTCTAAAGAAATCACTGGTCAATGACTCCTTTCCGCTTCCTCCCGTTTCCATGGCAAACTAAATTTAACCCCATTTCTAAAACAAAATAAACACATAATATTAGCATAATCCAAGCAGATTTTGGGCTTCTATAGCTGATGTATAACATTTTTCAGATCTAGTATTGTGAATTTAAATATCAATGCATGGCACGGTTCTGGAAAGTGAGAGAAATGTGAATGTTATGTTCACGGAAGCAATGTTAAAGCTACATTCAGGAAGTATAGTTTCTTCCAATGATGTATCGGATAAAAAAATACGTATAATGAATGCGAGATTTCACTGAAATTTAAATTGCAATATATCTTTTACAGCAATATATATTGCATTATATATTTTAACGTTCTAAGTAGGCTGAGGAGTGTATGTGTGTGTTTAGACAATTTTAAATTCCCGGAATCGAGAGTCGCTAAAATTGTCCACATTTCGATTCCGATCAAAAATTTGATGGAAATAGTTGAAAAAAGTATAAAAATCAAATCACTTTTTGATTATGACTAAATTTACAGAAGATGTTCTCCTTATCATAACCATAAAAAGTATTTCAGGTATTTTTACAACAGTTATCCAAGTTCGTTTGTCGTACTTTTTTTCAAAGAGGAAAATTAAATGTATATAATTTAATTAAATTGTATAAAAATGTTGTATGAAACGAATAGATGTAATTGTTAAATTATGACAGTGTGCCTTTAGAGGTGTAGCTAGGGCTCACAGCGTCCTGGGACAAGCTTAGGTTTGGCGTCCCTTTGCATTATGATGCTATACTTGGCGAGGTTTTTTCTTAATTTCAGATTATTTTAAATTTCAGATTATTTTAAAACTGAAGTCCATCACACTTAGCATTGGATTGTTAAATTTTTCATTGAATAATAATTTTTAATTTAAATGCTTTTTTAAAACAATGTAACTTGATAAGGTCACGCCTTTTCATTCGATTTGGTTTATAAGTTTAAGTGTATGTTTCTGATCGCATTTATTGTTTTTGATTGATTGAATGATTATGATAAGCACTTACTCTAAAGCATTTTTCATTAAATGTGTTGCTAAACCTTTCTTAAAAATTTTAAGATTAATTCAAAAGTAGCTACAATTAATATAAACTACAAAATAGGTATCCTATTCAATATTTTGTTTAATAAAAATTAGGTAAAAAATTAGGGATAAAAATTAGGTAAAATTGTGTGGATCATAGCAATAAATGAAACTAGGAATATTCAGAAGAGACAAACATTTTGTTCTGGAATTTATTATTAATTATTTTTCATGAATTTAGTCCCCCCCCCCCTAAATCAAGAAGGGTGCTAAGCCACTATGTGCACTTCATAATTTAATAAAATGTTTTAATAACTTAATTAATGTTCATAATTTAATAAATGTAATAATTTAAATAAGGTTTAGTTCTTGTTACTTTTAAGAAAAAAAATAATAACTGCTGAAAAAAATATAACGGAATCTGCGTAGTAAAATTCTAAAAAAGGTATTTATCTTTAAAGATGCTGAAATTTTTGACCATCTCTACTTTATTCTTAAACTTTTCTTATGCTAAATTTTAACGGTCAAGAATTCATTATTATTTGCATGGAAGCGATTTTCAATTTTATCTTAATTTAACCAAAATGTTAACACAGGTCTGAAATTTTTAAGAATGCTTAATTTCGCCAAAATGATAAAAATATTTTATCAAACGAATAATTATTATTATTATTGTTTTTTTTAAATTTTTTTTTTACTAATTTGACATTTTATGCAATGCTTGTAATCAAAAAATAATTTTCCTTATTAATTTTTTTATGATCATTTTTATAATTACAATTTTCCATAATGATTTTTTCTCAGTATCATGATTTACCCCTTAATGAAATATAGTAGTTTAGTCTTGGAAATATATAATAGTTTTGCTTATATTTTATGCAATGAAATTATGCAATATAATAAAATTAATCCTTTTAAAAGGAATAAAAATTAAGTGTTTTAAGTTTAAAGATCCAGTTTGACAAATCAGTTTTAAGAATAAAATCATTTATATTTACGTAAGAACATGAAATATGTATGTATGTGTATATATATACATATATACGGCTATTTGTCCTATGAACCCGCTCTCTTAACTGTTCCAGAGTTATAAGAGAGGCAATTTGACAATTTCTTCCTTTTATTATTAAAGATTTTAAGTATTTTTTATTTTTATTTATTAAGTTGGAATATTTTTTATTTTCTGTAGTAAATGTTACAAGCTTTTTGATTGTAGTAAAAATATGGTTATTATTTTATGTTAACATGAATTCACTTACACATATAATAAAATAAAGAATTTGTGTGTGTTTGTATAATGGATTACGTGTACAGTGCAGGCACTAAAAATCTGGCATTCAACGTGAAGCTTGATGATAGTACAATTGTAAACAAATTACGAAGCTCGATTATTGATTTTTTAATTTTCTTTTAGAGACATTTAAAAAATGGAATTTTCTTATTTGTTTAGCAGAAGCCATTGTTTGAAATTAAACTATAGACAAATAAGTTTTGTCATATATTTTAACGGTAATTACCGTTACTGATGTTAACATCAGTGATGTTTGTAAGCTTGTAACTCAAATGAAAAAAAAAAAAATTGTTTATTGCGCTTCTCTGTAATACTTAATTATTTTTTATTCGTTATGTCAAAGGATCTGAATGATCAACGTGGTCGTGGTAGCGCAGGTGGTCTGAAATAACGTGCTTATTTCGCGTGTAGTTGTGTTTTTAAAACATGTTACTATAAAACTAAGTAAGTTAAAGTTAACGGTTTTTGAAAAAAAAAGTTTTTTAAAAGCAAAATTTATGGAAAAATGGTACTAATTCGTTGAAGAGAAAAATAAAAAAACGCCAATATTATTATTGACGCAAATGATAATTAATCTTGGTAATTACTTGAAATTAAAAAATAAAGTATATACTGAAAAGCAAAATTAAAAGAGGTAAAGGAGGTTTGGTAATAGGCATTAATGGCCATTGGAGCTGTTATAATAGGTACTGCTGAAATAAATCTTTTACGGTAACCTCGAAGATATAAGTACAGGGGAAAGTTGCCTGATTGTGGTAAATTTTAAATATCATGAGTAGCTTTGCTGTTTGTTTAATCTAATAACGTAAGGCCACCGGTAAAGACAACGAATAATAAAAAATAAAAAATAAGTAAAAATTAGTATTATTTTAATTTTATTATTTGTGTCGGTATTTTTTTCCAGTTTTTTGTATGATTTTGTAGTCTTGTTCAGCTCTGATTTATTGATTTTTTCTTTTCAGCTCGTACGAATAATGAATATTCAGTTAGTTTGCTAATTAATTAAATTGCTTTGAGTTGTTCTATTATATTCTCTCAATATATAACACCTCTACATGAAATGAAATTAAAAAATTTAAGAGCACAGTAAAGAGAAAAAAACCCCCATTAGTCTCGCTTTTTTTCCTGATAATCAAATTCTCATTCGCAGAGGAAAAATCGTAGGCAGTGAGAATAGTCACTCAGAGATTCGAACGAGAACTTGATTGGTAAAATACTTTATAATAAACCGACGAAACAATCACATCCATTCGGAACAAACGCATCCGCTAATTTTCTCCGGCAGTGAGAATAGCGCTTTAAAACTATGTCGAATAATCTTCGAATGAGTTGAGCTATTTTAGAGCATTAGTGACAAATGTTTTGTTTTTCAGTTTTTAGCTGTTCGAATTTTTGTAAATAAAACATAAAACTGAATATGAAGTCAAGGTGCTTGGGCTATAGTTATTTTATAAGAAAATTAAATGGCCGAAGAAAAATATTTGACCCTTCCAATACTACCGTGCGTATTTATAAAGGTTTTTAAAAAATGGTTTATATTTAAGGGTTTGCTATGCAATTCGTTGTCTCTGGTTGATGGTCTGTTTTATATTTTAGAAAAATAATAAATTGATTCTATAGTTTTATTTTTAAGCCTGTCGACTAGATTAAGGAATTTCGGCTAAGTAATTACTTAAATTAGTGTTATTATTTAAGTTGATGTTAAAATTTACCTTTAAGCACAACAGTTAAAATTCACCTTTAAGCACAACAGTTAAAATTCACCTTTAGGCACAACTTACATGAAATGAAATTTTCAAGAATATCAAGAAATTTTCAAGTAACACGAAGTTTTCAAATGATACTCCTTTGTTAGGGCGAATTAAATAATTAAACGGNTGTCCCTTCCAATACTACCGTGCGTATTTATAAAGGTTTTTAAAAAATGGTTTATATTTAAGGGTTTGCTATGCAATTCGTTGTCTCTGGTTGATGGTCTGTTTCATATTTTAGAAAAATAATAAATTGATTCTATAGTTTTATTTTTAAGCCTGTCGACTAGATTAAGGAATTTCGGCTAAGTAATTATTTAAATTAGTGTTATTATTTAAAAGTTAATTATTTAAGTTGATGTTAATATTTACCTTTAAGCACAACAGTTAAAATTCACCTTTAAGCACAACAGTTAAAATTTACCTTTAAGCACAACTTGCCTAAAATGAAATTTTCAAGAATAACAAGAAATTTTCAAGTAACATGAAGTTTTCAAGTGATACTCCTTTGTTAGGGCGAATTAAATAATTAAATGGATTAAAAAGAAAAAAGAAAAATTATTTTACACCTTCAAATATAGTTTATTAGAATATTTTAATTATTGAAATGTGGTTTAAAAATTTTAAATAAATGAGTTTTTATAAAAAGTTTCAGGTAGACCAAGAAAGAGAGTTAGTTTTAGGTAATTTAAAAAAATTTTTGGAAATTGCAAATTAACAATCCTTTTTATATTCCTAGAAAAAATTATGTCTTAAAAATAACTTTCTATCTCAATATTTCAAAAGTATAAAAAATAACTTTCTATTTTAATCTGATTTTGCAATATTTTGTTAGGACTTAATATTGTTTAGTTTTTTGAGAATCAACCATAAGTGTTTTATCAAAATTAGTTTTAGAGATATTCTATCGTATAACTAAAATAAAAATAAAATAATGGATAAGATTTGTTAGATATTGATGCATGTCCACAACATTGCCTTTATCAAATATGGACATTGAAGTGTTGTTACGTTTCTATAACCTAGTTCTTCAAACTTATTTATTTTTAACAATGCAATTCATTTTGATTGTTCCAAATAACGACATTCTTTTTTGTCTTCACATAAGTGTAATAACTTTTCTCTGCATCATTTTCACTATGTGGGTTATTCTAAGCAAATGTTATCTGATTTTAATTCATCTGTCACCAAGAAAAAAAAGAAAAGAAAAACATTTTTACTTGTTTTACATTTTTAAACAAAAAATAATTGTAAACCTGTTATAAAAATATTGTTTAATTAAATGATTCATGTATTTAAAAAATAAACAATTGGAATATTTTATGCTATAAGTCAATTAAAATAAATTTAAATTTACTGCTGAATTTTAATGTGAAAATTATTTAATTCAGCTTTGGATAAAAATACGTTTAAAGTTTCCTTTAATTTTTAAACTACTTTTATACCTTTCATATGCAAAATGTTTTAATTCAGTTTAATATTTCTTTACTGTAGCTTATGATCTTGTCGAATGGCTGATGGACCGTTTAAATATTGAAGAAACTGGTAAGTAGAATGTTATTTTTTCTTTGTTTCATGAATACTTATTATGCAAATACAGTTTAATCTCCTTGCACTTGGTTTTTCAAATCCTTTGTTATTTTAATTGCATGAGATTTTTATAATATGGTTTCGAAAACTCAGTGATGGGACAGCCCATTAAGGGCCGAAACCAATTGTGCCCATCCCAGTTTTCTTGGCATGGAGCTCTGGGGATGCAGGAGCAGATATTCCGGTTGTGTGGTCTGCTGAAGGCAGAGTCAACCTTGTTTTATTCTATTTTTTAGTCCCCAATCATGCTTGGTACTCTGTCAGGATCCTGATTCCTCTCCCACGCATTTGATTGACCCCTTGACCTGAGGGTCAGAGGGTGAAGGACACTGGAGGTGTCGTCCCCTACATTGGGGGTGGAGCAAAGGACTGTTTCTTATGGGAAAAGAGGATTTTTGAGAGGGCAGATCAGTTTTGAACGCAGGAGAGATTAGCTTTGAACGCAGAAGAGTTGAGTTTCGAGTTGAACTATGCGAGAAAGCATGAGAGAGAAGGGAGCAGCAGCGCTCCGGAATATTATATTCTCCANGAGCAGATATTCCGGTTGTGTGGTCTGCTGAAGGCAGAGTCAACCTTGTTTTATTCTATTTTTTAGTCCCCAAGCATGCTTGGTACTCATTTTATCAATCCACTGAAGGAATGAAAGGCTGAGTCAACCTTGCCCAGTCCAAGGAAAGGACCTGTGGCACAGACGCGCAAAGTGCTACCACTCAGCACCCAGCTTCTAATATGCTTTCTAGTAATATATAAGTGCATTTCCCTTGTGCAAATATGTGTATAGTTGGCAGTTTCAAAAAGGCATCCAATCTAAATATTTTTTCTACATTAAAATCATTTTATTACTTACTTATTTTTTCTATATATTTATAGAAAATTAGTCACAAAGTTTCATCACTTAATTTAATATATTAACCCATAATTTGATATATTAACCCTCAACTTACCTTCAGTGAAAAACAGTGAGTTATTGATTTTAAATATTTTGGTTGTCCACTTCATACTTGCTAATGAAAAAGTGAGTAATTCGTGTTGAAGTTCGCTTAATTATTCCCTCATAGTGATTATATTGTATGATAGAACAGGATTTCACTGAAAGAATGGAAAATTTTAATTCTAAATGAAAAAGATTTTCTTTTATATATAACTTGAGTGTCTCATATTTGTTGTTTTAAGTCCAAGCCCAACCCATAAACCTATTTTTATTTTATAACCGTCGTTGAGCAGCTGACCCAATTTTATGGGTTTGCGACTACTAATGTTCAACTTCGTAACCTTGTAATTTTGAATCCAATCCAGAAGACAAGGGAACTCCTGGATCGAGTATTGGGAGAAATTTGCCTTAGTGGAGGACTTTTTGATGGAGCTAACCCAGATTTGCGTTATTTGGAGAAGAAGACCACGAGAACCTCCCATGGGTAGCCTGATGGCAAAGGGACTCTAACCCATGATCCGTCTGCCACTGAGGATATTTTCTGTCAGTACTGTAGTCGGTGCAAGCTGGATGCGGAATTCGTATTGACTGGGATTCGGACCTGTTTCGCCTCGTTGGAAGGTGATCCCTCTATCCCCTGAGCCATCATGGCTCACATAAACGTATTTGTAGTTGAACTAGAAGGGAACTTGCACTTAAAAATAAATGTTTTGGAGAAACCCAAGGCTCACTCTGTGCTGTTGTGTAATGATGATGCACTGCACAGTACACAGAAACATCTTATTGCCTGCTATGGTGTTTTTCAATAAAAATGCTTTTAGCATTATATTAAGCAGTTTAAAAATGAAGCTTATCATTATATCACCTCAAACTGCTACAGTAAATAAATGTTTCCTTAAAATATTATTATAAAAATTTGACTTGGCATAAGAAGGCTAATTTTATTTAACATATAAAGTTATTATATATACTTTTAATTATCAATATCTGTAAAAGGCAGCCCACTTTAAACAATCTTCTAAGGATATTGTATATTTTTTTAGTATGCAATAGTATAAAAATTAACATTCAACAATTTTTTTTTAGATTTTAATGTGTATTTTTTTAAAATAAGTTGCCATTTATGTTTTTGTTATCGTTTGTAGTAGTTTAAGAGAAAATATATTAATTCCTTTAAAGTCTCTGTTTATCCTTTAACAGAAGCAGTTCATTTAGCCAATCAATTATGCCAACACGGCTACTTTTTCCCAGTGAGCGATTCTAGGTCTCTAGCAATTAAAGATGACGGTTCTCTATACAGGTTTCAAGTAAGTTTGACAATATTCTCATAATTTTTTTAAATAACATTATTTCAAACTAATTTTAAATTTTTCTTTAAGAATTTTTTTTTTTTTTTAATGTTGTGTTTAACTTAACACTTTACTTATTTGTTGCTTACATCTTTTTGATTAAATTTTCTTTTTTTATGAATTTTTAAATTTAAAGTTTTTGTTTGAAGGGGTGAACTATTTTTAGAGTAATTTGAATAATTCGGTTGTATTAAATTAAAGTAATCATTAATAAGTTAATAATCTGTTTTTGTATATGAAAAATGAAAGATATCTATTACTTTATAATGTGCTTATATTTTCTCCTTATATTGTCTTAGCCTTAAGTTAATTTATAGTTATTATTGTTTAAATATTTAGAAACTAAATTTAATAATCTGTTATAAACTAAATATGCAATAATGTTTTCTCTGTTTCATTTAGTTTTAAGTGTAATTCATAGTTTCTTACTTCTAAAAATTTATACTTTTTTAGGCTCCTTATTTTTGGCCTTCTCATCATCAACCTGATAATACTGACTATGGTAAGAATAGATGTGTTTAAAATGAAATTTATTTTAAAGATCTGAATTATGGCTGTTTTTCGAAGGCTCTGTCGTCATATAAAATGATTTTTGCGAATAATATGCTATTTTCTAAACTGCTGTGAGTTTGCTACAGTTACTCATGACTGTTAGGACAAGTTTAACCTATCTGAAGCCAGCGTTCTCTCAGTGCTACTTCTAACTTTTACTTGACTGTATTTATGTCTAAGAAATATTTTTTCATTTTTTTTATTCAATAAAATAGCAGTGTTCCGTAGGAATGTTCCATTTAGTACAAAGATTGGTTTGACATTTGCATTACTTTCTTTTATTCTTAATTGTTTTAAGTTTTAAACTGAATTATAAAGTTCTTTAGTGCAAAATCTGAAATTAGAAAAAAATGCTTTAAGGTATCTGACTAGTGTTAAAGCATGATTTTGTGTAAAAGTTTTGAAATAGAATTTATTATAAATCTAGAATTCCTGTACTTTTAACATTCTAAAAATACTTTACTTTACTTTTGTTTGTACTCCTATTATTTAAAAAGTTATAGCAGTTTTTGTGCAAGGTCTTAACAGTAGAAAGACTAGTGATTATAGCTTTACATGTGTTTGTCTCAAAATTAGATTTTTTCACATTTTACACCACCTTAAGCACGTTGTCTCATGTTGTTTTTAAAATAATTGTTTACACTTTTATTTACACATTTGTTTTACACGTAATAAAACAAGTAAACTAGTTTCTTAAAATTTTATATTACTATTTAAAAAATATTTGTGAGTTCAATTTCTGTCCTCTGTTGAGCTAAAACTGTTAGAAGAAGTTAACATAGCGGTTTGCTACTTATCAGCACGGTTCGCTACTTATCAGCTACCTTAGGCACGTTGTCTCATGTTGTTTTTAAAATAATTGTTTAAAATTTTATTTACACATTTGTTTTACACGTAATAAAACAAGTAAGCTAGTTTTTAAAGTTTTATATTACTATTTAAAAAAAATTTGTGAGTTCAATTTCTATCCTCTGTTCAGCTAAAACTGTTAGAAGAAGTTAACATAGTGGTTTGCTACCTATCGCCTATATTATCTACTTCTGCTGGTTCATTGTTAAGTTGGTGATTTTTTTTGTATTGACCATTAGTCAGAGTATTGCTGTTTGTTATTACCTTGGCCCCATTCAGTTAAAGGCAAAGTCAGGTTTCTTTTCTACTTTTACTATCAGTTCTTTTTAAACAGAATATAGAAGTCTGGATGGGTTTCATTTCAATTAGAAAACAATTTTTTTAATTTCACTATAAACAAGATTTTGTGGAGAAGGACTCAAATGTGTTTTTTCTTGTTGATTTCTGTGAGGAAAAACTAACGCCGAAATAAACTATTTATTAAAAACTTTAAAATAAAAACAGGCCTAGAACGTACTTGAACTTCCAAAATAGCTTGGAAAAGGAACTATGCTTCCTGAAGCTCACAAAAAAGCTAAAGTAATAAAAATAAAATAAAACCTTGAAGAATTTGACGATTGAATTCGATGGTAAACACACTATACGAAATCGCTAATCCTACTGACAAGCAGACAAAATATTCTTGTTAGCAAGAGTTTCAGAATGCATGCATTATAAAGCAACAAATAACAAAGAAGAAAAGATTAAATTATTCATCTATGGCTGAACAATTTCATTATTTGTTGGTTGCTACAAAATTATTGTTTTAGTTCTTATTGAATAAATATAGCCATGCCTCCATACAAACAATCAAAAGAAAGCTATCCATTTTTGATTCTACTATAGACTATGGCATGGTGCGTAGTATTTTAAAAAAGTGCTTAAAGATGTTTATTTTCGATTTTCGTTATTTAAAAGCCCTTAAAGGTGCTTTTTTCATTGGGTGTTTTTAAATAGTGCTTCATTTTCCCTTTTCGAAAATGATATCTTTTTCTTTACCATGTCAATTTTTGTCACATATTATGCAAAAGCGTGCTTTTAATATTGTTCTATTCAATGCTTTCACAATTCATTAAACCACAATCTATTTCGGCATACTGTCGGTCCATAACGTAAGAAAGCGCCAATCATTTTACATGTTTGTTGCAGTACTTGCGAGTTCATATGTGCATATATACTGAGATGGGTTCAGTGAGATTATTGCACTCTCATTTGCAACTCTGCTGCATTTTGCTAGATATTCTAAATTTCAGACTTCATTTTCCACTCTGATATCGAACCGAAATACCTCTTGATCATTTTATAATGGCTAATATAATCAAGAAGAGTTCTTTGTCAGAAAATAGTTATTTTATCATGATCATGTAAAGTCTTGGAAAATTATTTTCCATTTTGTATATAGTGCTTAAAAAGTACTTAAAAGGTGCTTATTTTTTGTTGAATAATTTGACTATGCACCCTGTATGATTTTTGTAGTGAATGTATGTAGAATGTTATGTTTGTTCAAACACAAGTAATGCTCCAAAATATTATTTTTCAAACTGCTTGTTTAATTCAAAGGGCTCTCAAATCCAATTTTTATAAATATAAATTTTTTTGTTTAATTGTTTAGTTGTTAACCTATTCTGTATTTATTTATATCTTTTATTTTAAATATGTTCTAAAATCTTTACTTATGTGTTTAGATTAAACAATTATTTATGCAAATGCTTTTGAATCTGTATTTGAATAAAATATTTAAGTAAAATATTTAAATAAAATATTTAAATAAAAAGAAATCAAATTTGTTTGTTTCATGAAATCGTTGTTAAAAGCTGTGCACAGTTTATGATTTTTTCCCTTTTCTATTTGTAAATTACTTCATAATTACTTGATACATTTGCTTTTATGAACTTGTTCTTTTGTCTTATTATTTTTAGCTATATATTTACTAAAAAGATCAATGAAGAACAAGCAAAAACATGGACTAGAAGAATATGAACAAGTAAACCTATTTTGAGATTTTTTTTTTGTTGCTTCTATAACCCTTCTTCGTATTATTTTAATTGCTTCAAGCTAGTTTATTGTTTTATGCATAAAATGTTAAAGTGCGTTTGAAATTTATTTCTATAAACATATAAAAATGTTTTTTTTTTTAAATTTTTTATTTAGGACTGAAATATATATCTGATAATGTGTGTCAGCTACTCAGGGAAAAAATAGTTTTAAGTTTTATCTGTTATTACTTTATGCAAGGGAAATTATTTTTGTTACATTGAAGGCCCATTTATTTTGTTTAAAAATTTGTTTTTGAAATAATTTTTTGATTATAGATGACTGGTTATTAAAATTATTGATTCTATAACTTTTTATACTTTTATAACTTATATGACTTTTATTATAAAACTTTTTTGGTACTTCCCAGTTTTCTAAAACCATTTTATGTAATTTTTATTTATTTTTTAGTTTTACTCTATTTTAGTTCTGTGAAATGTATTATGTTTAACTAAATGTGTTCGATTTTTATTCTATTTATTGTAAATTTTAGGGGATAATATATCTTTCTCAACTCAAATAAATGTTTTGTATTTTAGGAGGCCTTGGCTCGCCTGAAAAAACTTCTTTGTCATAAATGGGATTTTATAACTTTGCAAGCCGAAGAACAAGTTAAGTAAGTATATTTTTATTGAGTGATTTTAATATCCATATTTGAAGAAATAATTAAAATTTACTGCTTTTTCAAAATATTTTTAGAACTATATTAATAAATAGCTATCAATAAAATTTGTTTTGTTAAGATTTATTTTGTTAACTATGTAATATTTTTCTATTTGTCAAATATCAATGATGAATTGAATTCTGCATTAAGGATAATAGAAATTATTTAAAATATAACTTTTTAAACTAAAATGTTTTCTTTAATCATTATTTAATCTTCATAATTTCATTCTCAACTATTTTTCTATTTTTTAAAAGTTTATAGATTTAAATACAGAATCTATAATTTAATCAATTATTGGAATGTCGAAAATCATCTAAATTATACAGATATTTTTAGCCTATAAAAGTCATCTAAAGTGTAGAGATTTTTTGAGTCTAATAAACTTTTGCTAATGATTTCAATCACGACTAATTTTCTACATTATAATAATTCAATTTATATACTGAATGTATTGTTAAATACATTGTTTTCAGGATATTTTATTTATGTAAAAATATTTTACTCATATTTTTTTTATATTTTTATTCTTGCTATAAATATTTTTCCTTGAAGTCATCTGGAATTTCAAGAACAATTTATATACATATGGCTTTACTTTTTGTGCCAAGAGTGAACCACAGCATTTATTTATTTTTATTTATTTATATTTATTTATTTTTATTTTTTTTTGTTTTACTTCAGTCAAAAATACTTATATCAAATATACTCTTTACACAAAGTTCATTTAAATTGATAAGACTTTTTTTCTTAGATTTTGATGGTCAAAATTTAAGAAAACTCTGAAATATATATTTCTTTGATTGTTCAATGTTGGAATAATTGTTAATAATGCCAATTAATGTGTTTTAATTTGTTTATGTAGTTTATCAAAGGAAAGAAAAAAAGGGGATAAATTGATTTTGGACAGTCAAGAAAAGTCATATTGGCGCGTGCATAGGCCTCCAGTAAGTAAAAATTTTTTCTTCTATTATTAAGTTTCAAAAATATTTTATAAATTAAGTGTCACAAAATATTTTTTAAATATTTTTTTATGATTGAAGAAATAGCTGAATATATTTTAAAAAAAGCTTTTGTATCATGTATTGTGTTATTGAAAAGGAATGGAATACCTTGAAAACTTTTTAAGGTAATTGAAAAATTTTTGCTCACAATTATAAAATTTGTTTGTCCAAAGGTAATTCCATGCAAAAATAATTTTTATTAGATATTTATTTTATTATTGTTTTATTTAATAATGGTCCAAACAATTTTGAATTGTGAGGTATACTTTTTTTCATCATTTTAAAAAATATAATTTTCCATGTCAAAATACGAAATTCAAGCAAAATCGGTCAAATAGTTCCTTAGTAATCAAATTTTAAATGTCTGACTTCTTTGAAATTTTATTTCTCAGGAACTATTCAACCGATTTTTTCAAAATTTTGTATTTTGCCATGTAATATTATATTCTTTAAAATAATAGGGAAAATTGTATACCTTACAATTCAAAATTTTTTCGTTCATTATTAATTAAAAGAATAAATGTTTACAAAAAATATTTTTTTTGCATGGAATTAACTTTGGACAAGCATATTTTATGATTGTGAGCAGGAATGTTTCAATTCGCTTAAAAAGTTCTCGAGGTATAGAGAAATACGCAAAAAGTAAAATTAACATATTTTACTTTTTGCGTATTTCTCTATAATACGCAAAAGGGTCCAAATTTTGGAGTACTCTCCTGGCCAAACTATGGAGACCATATTTCTCAGATTGTGGCTACTCCCTATATTTTGGGGGGTCAGAAATCTGAATTTTCAAAAAAGGGTATGTTTTTTTAGAGAAGGTGCGTTTTTGTGTCTGATTTTGAACTTAAAATATTGTCTGCTCTTATTAATTAGCATATTTGAGGTTACCCCCTCAAGCTATTAAGATTGAGTACTAGAACAACAAGAAGATCCGATCATTATATCAAAAGTTATTCAAGATGGTCCTTTCTTTTGGCACACTGTACATACTTTTAAGTACATTATTTGAAGTGAAGATTTATTTATTTGTGCAGTAAATGTTGTTTACAACAAATGAAGTTCTACTTCTTACCCATAAATAGTATTTTCTTTTCTTTTTCAAATTAAGCTGTATTTTCACATCTTTTCTCTTATTCTATGTAACCCACTTAAAATGTCAACTCAAATGTTAAACGTGTTTTTAATAAAGTGTGTATTGTATTTTAGAAATTGTGTCTTAGGAGATTCTAAATTATTCTTAAATCTTAAATATACTTCCTATCAAATAAAATGTGTTTTATGGCTAAAACCAACAACTTTCTTCCATATTTGCAGCAAGTCAGGACTTAATAAAAGTAAATTTTTTCTAACAGATAATTAAAAAAAAAAGAATGCTACCCTAATGTTAGCTACATTTTGTTGGTTTGAAATTGCTGATGTTGAGATTCATTACATTTGTCAATACGTTACTTATTGCTTGATTTTGTTTAAACTATTTTGTATATTAAAAAGGTTTTAAATCATATTTCTCTATGCTCTGTTAGTGATTATTCATTGGAATTAAATAATGGAAAGTTTATTGATACAACTACACTACTGGCCATTAACATTGCTACACCAGGAAGGAATACGAATAATGCGGCTTCAACGTTATGCCAATTTTTCTCGACCGTAGCGTCTGACGAGTGGTAGCGTGCCAGTCATTCAGCATGGTACCATCATAGTACCATCATAGCCAAAGCCATGGTAGCCGTGCTAACAGTCCGTGCTGCTGCAAACGTTGTCGAACTGTTTCTGCAGACACTTGTTGTCTTGTAAATGACTCCATTTGTTGACTCAGGGTTTGTGACGCAGCTGTACAATCCCTTAAGGTCATGTGGATAACATGTCTGTCTTCTCAGCTGTTAGTGATGGGGGGCCGCTGAGATCCTGCACAGCGTTCCATATGACCGTCATGAACCCATCAATTCCATATTCTGCTAACAGTCATGGGATCTCGACCAAAGCAAGCAGCAATACTTCGGTATAATAGACTGCAATTCCAGCAGGCCACAATTCGACCTTTATCAAACTCAGACACTTTCTGGTAGGCATTTCTCCTTACAAGAAACATAAAAACTTTTTTACCCAAGAACTACGCTCAAATTCAATTTCTGTATGAGAAACTTACTGTCAAATCTCTTTTATACACAATGTAGGTGTTGCTACCACCGCCTGCTTTGCATGAATGCGCTGATAAGTTATTCATGCTTTACCTGTCCTGCAAATTTCACGTTCATGCTGTGTCGCCTTCCTGGTGTAGCAATTTTAATGTCCAGTAGTGTAATTAAATAGTTGTACTCAACCACTAAAAACTAAGATGTATAAAAGAAAATATTTTATTTACTTTTCTAACCAAATATTTCAAAATTAATTTCTACCATAAAATATCAGTCTGAGAAACTAAACTATTGCATACAGAATATTTCTTTGAATAATTGTAGTTTCGATGTTTTTAATTGTGATATTTATTCATAAAGTTACTACAAAAACATGGACACTACAGTCTTTATTCTAAATTGTTTGGTTTTCTTATCCACTTACTATTTTAAAATTTCCTTATTTTATTTTTAAACGTTATTTAACTGCAACATATTCATTGTTTATACATATGAATTTAAAGGAAAAAAAACACCTTTGATAGAAAATATATTGAGCTAGTTATTCTGAGAAGTAATTTACTTTTAGTTTAAGAAAAGAAATGCAACTCCACTTTTTTATTGATTTTTTATAAATTTATTTTAAATTTATTTATAGAAATATTTCTTTAAAATTTATTCCTACACTCAAAATATATACATGTTTATAGATAATGCTTAGATAGAGATAACTGACATTTTAAAGTTAATAAAAAATTAAACTTGAAATGAAGCATTTGATTGATTTTTTGGAACATTACAATTCATAGATTTTGTTTTGTTAAATGAAAAATTGTTTGGTGAAAATTAAAATTTTGATCATAATTTAATTTAATAAAATAATGAAAATAATTAAAAAAATATTGTTTACAACAGCATCAGTGATAGGTTTATAAACTTTTGTATTTATTTACATCTAGATACACTTATTCTATGCAATTGATTCACTTTTTATTTTCTTTTATTTCATATAGAGTTTATATTTGAAATGTATCAGTAAGTAATGCATAATTTAAATGCAATAAAAGATTAATAAACTTTTAATCAACTAATTATTGAAATAAAGTATTTGTATTTTACAGCCAGGTACTCCTAGTTGTCTTGAAAAAACTCCATTAGCAAGCAGAAAGGTAAAGAAAAAAACTCTTGAAGATTTAAGGCGAGAAGTAAGTATAACTAGGACAGCTTTGATATATGATAGTATTATTAATTACAATAGAATGAGTTTTTGATTTCTTATTTAATGTTTAATGTAATTCACACTAATGTTAATTTACAGAAAGCCTTGTTACTCAAAAGTTTGAACAAACCACGGGTCAAACCTTCTCAAATCGTTGAAAGGTATTATTAATATTTCTGATTTCCACTTTGATGTAATTTATTTATTTGTTGATTAGGATAATGTGTAAGCTATATTATTTTAATGGACTTAAATTTACTTTTCCTTGTATAAAAGTTTTAAAGTGATTAAATTCTTTTGCTAATACTTTAAATGTTAATTAAAATTTGTGTATTTTTGTTAGTAAGATAGTAACACTTCATGTTACAAGTTCATTTAGTTCTACTTAGTTTTAAGTGCTTTTTAAGTTGTGATTGTTCTATGATTTAAATCTGTAGTAAATTTAGTACTGTGTACTTACCAGTAATCTACACTTACCAGAATAATGCTGTTGTAAAATTTTTTGATCAACATTATTTTAAAGATTAATTATCTATATTTTTGTGCTCATTATACCGTCAAAGTTTGTTGAACACTAAAGTATTTTTTAACGATACACTCAAATAATTTACTGTAATACAGTGTCTGCTGCCTATTCAAATTACTTCCGTTCCAAGAACTCTTGATTTTATGAACCATATCGTAGTATCTACGGTTGGAAAAAAAATTATTACTACAGTTATATTTCATTTTGATTGAATCTACCTCTGTCTTTTAATTAGACATGAGTTACAGTTTTTAATTTAGAGAAGTAGTTTAAAATATAAGTATATTTATTTGATTAGCAAAATTTAAAATTACATTAAACATGGTTTAAATGTTTCTGAAAGTTTTTGAAACTGCCAATCTCTTTTTAAAATTCATTTTAAAATATAAAGTGCTTTCCTGACATTCACTGTCCATAGTTTTGACTTATATTGACTATTAGAATGAGTGATGATCATTGATATTGAATGATGATAAGCATTCCATAACATCAAAATTTTCCCTGTTTTATAACTTTTTAAGACTTAATGACTTTTAATTTTCGGAAGAAGGATAATTAACTCCTGTTACTTTATTCTTCTTGTTTGTTGGAGTCAGAATGAAATTTGTTATTTGTATGCTTTCAAAACTTGAGAATATAGCAAGTTTTATCTATTCAGACTAGAAAATGCAGTGAGTTCTTTATTTTTTAAAGATAAGCTCTTCATAAACTTCATTTTTCAAAACAACAATTAGGAATTTATTAAGCATTCTTTAATATTGAAATGCTTTTGTTCTTGCATATTTTATTTTAAAAAGTGACTGATTTTGTAATCAAGTAATTTTATTATTGGTGAACATCATCATCACCATCATCAATGGCTCGACAGCCCAGGGTGGGCCTTATCCTTCCGAAGAAGTTTTTTCCAGGCTAACCTTTTTCCTGCTAGATTATTGGTGGTCACTGTATCTAAAAATAAAATTTTCCTTATCTCCAAATATTCATATAGTTTTCTATTAAAAAGTATAAGTTTTGTTTTAATTGAAATTTGTTCTTTGCTTAAAAAATAGTGTAAATATTTTTCTAATATTTTATAATACTTTACAATCTTTTTATATTTTATTAATAATACAATCCATTTTGTAACTAACCTAATATTTTAAGACAATAATTGTTGATTTAATTTTTCTGCGATTTGGTAAAATGTATTTTTACACCTTGAATTTTATTTAATGAATTATTTTTAAAATTGATTCAACCTTTTCACAGATGCCTCTTATTTTATATTTTACACATTTTCTATATAACATCTTATCTAAATTCTATTAATTTAAGTATGAAGTTGAAAACCTGTTGTAAAGTTCAGTAAAAAAATAATCCCAGTAGTATAATTAAAGGGTTAATTAAGCCAATGAAAAAAATTATTGTGATCTTATTTAAGGGTAACAATGAAATATTATTGTAGTATGTTATTATTGCTTATTTTTTGAGATGATTAAAAATTCATTTTAGATATTTTAATTTATTAATGCTTAAATTTTATTTTATAAATGTTTCTTTTATTTTCTTTGGGAGAAAAATTGTTCAATATTTTGATTGTCAGATGCTCCATATTTTGAAATTTTATTTATTTTTTATACCTTTCCTCTTCCTTGTGACTTTGATCGATGCATTCAATTGTGGATATCTCAAAGTCAAAGGAATGCAAAAAATATTGTGTATGAATAGTTTTTGAGTTAATAAGGGCATATAAAATTAAACAATTCATGTAACAATACCAGACACAGAAAAACTGTTTAAAATTAATTGTGTTGAATTAAAAAAAATTATACTAAACTTACTTTGCTAGAATTATTTAAAATAAAGTCTAAAATAAAATTTATTGACATTATCATTGGTGACATCTTTTTTTAAATCCTTTTTCAACCATTTTTTTGTTGTTGTTGTCTATTTTGGCAACCCTGAGTTGAAACTTGCTCTAGAATGGTAACAAAACAATTGACCCTGTATTCTTACTTAAATTGGTTACCATTAGTACTGTAGGCAAATGGCAAAAGGAAACTTATCCTACATGAAAGCTACTAATGGTATTAGTGTCATAAATTTTCATCAAGCTCTCATGCACTGATTTTTATTAATTAACTGTATTACTGATTCCATGCTACAAGCATGAAAGCCATCTTGTTGGAAAATTGAGGGAAAAAAAAGAACTGTTTAGTATTCAGTAGCTGAGCAGATTTTAAAATTAACCAGTTTCAGTCATTATCCACGTTTATGCACCATCTAAAATCTGTTTGCCTTTATTTTTTAATTTTAATTTGCTATTTTAAATTTTATTTTATTAAGTATTTCAGAAAAATATTTATGAATGAAAAACTCTGCTTGGTTTCTCTTTCCAACTACCGAAACTACTTACTCAATTCTTTTCAGTTCACTTCTTGTTTATCTTTTATTAATTTCTTTTAGTATCCCAGTTTTAATATTTTATTTCAAATACATTCCTGCTAGCTATAACTGGTCAACACCATAACTGCTGTTATTCCATTCAAGTGATCAGATGCTCTTATCACAATTGTTCTTGATCTTTTTGAGAGATACTAAAGGGAGCAATAATTTCTCAAAATATGCCTTTATTTGCTTGGTCATAGCTTGGAGAGTTGATTTTTTGGAACAAATTAATTTCTTATTTCAAAATTCATTGTACATAACCAACTTTTTAAAAATTTATATTACCACGAAATCAGTTTTAATGTTTATAATGTAGAATTTTAAAAAACATACTCTGTTTTACTTCTCACACATTGCTACAGTAGTAAAAAAAATTCCTTTGAAATAAATACAATAATGTATATAACTTTTGTGTATATTGTTTGTTTATACAGATTAATTTTTTTTCAAAGACTTAGTTTAAATTCATCTCTTACAGGTTATCCATAATAATTATATTTCTATAGTATTATGAAAATTTTATCTTTTTTTTGTTGAAGTGATTTATTTATTTGTATTGCAAGTAAAGCAAGAATCAAAGATAAACCTTGGCTTAATTGTCTAGGATGGAGATTAGCTAAAAGGCAAAATTAAAGGGCTCCATTGGCCACATGGTGACTAAATATAATAAATGTGCATTAAAAATTTGCCAATTGCCGCAGGTTTTCCATTTTTTTATATTAAAAATGTACACCATGTATTTTTTATTAATATTTTTTAATAAATATCTAATTATAAGGAATATTTTGTACTATTTTGAGAATTACTTTATTTTATGCCTGTTTATTAGCATTTTTCCTTATTTTAGAAATGAATCTTGTAATCTTTTCAATATTTTGAGAAATGCTTTTAAAGAAGGGTGTTACTTTATTAATATCAACAGTTTTTTTTTAATTGTTTAAAATTTTTATCATTTGAAAACATGGCCACATGTTTTAAAAAGTAGCCTTTGTTAAAAATGCTAGAAATGGCTACTTGTCTGTAGCAAAATATCCTAATTTTGAATTATCTATCCATTACAATTTATGGATTACCTATCCTAATCAGTCAACACCAGAAGAATCTCCCATATTTCTACTTTTATATGCCTAAAACTAGTTCCAACTAGCTTGTATGAAGCCCAAAATTATGTTATCTATGCTTTTATAGCTATATATTAATAGGTAATACATAAATAACCCTTGCTCGATATTTTGTACTATATTAAGATAATTGTAATGTATTTTTAAGATTAAGAGCCATTGTAGAGTACACGCTTTCTCAGTATAATAATGTGTAATGTAAAAATCGGTTTTGGGTTTAAATCAACTAGAACTGCTTATACCCAGTTAGCTAAATAAAGGTGGAATCATTAAAGATTTTTCAAGCTTTAACAGAGAGGGATTAGTAATTCCCAACTAAAAGGTTAAACATGGGTTTATTTAGGTTTGTTTGTTCCCTAGTATATGCTGATCATTACTTTTCCAAAATTATACTCATGAGTGCCTTTTTTTTAGTCTTCTAAATCACTGTCAAGAATACATCGAATTTGACTCCTTTATTGTTGGTGTGTTGCCTTCTAATCCTTGGATAAGTGAAGATCCCACACTATGGACACTCAATAACCGAGAGTAAATAATTCTATATTTTAATATTGATTATAAATATTGTTTGTAATCATTTACATTTCCAAATATTCTTATTTATATTTAAAAAAATTGCCAAATCGCATATGTTAATTTTACTGTTCACTGTAATGTTGTGGTTGCTACAGCCAACTTTTGATACTTCAATTATTTTTTAAATGTGGTTTTTAATTGTGCAGAAAGTACTATTGCTACGAAAATGAAATTGTATGCAGCTTTATGTTTGTGTAAATTTAACTATTTACTGTGTAAATGTAACAGATTTTTTTTCATATTTTAATTTAGTGGTTCACTCTGGTTTTTCTGGACAAGCGCTAATATACTTCAAATTGATTTTAAAAAAAAGTTGATTTTAAATATGCGAATGCTATTTTCTCTTGCTATGAAATCAATAACGTTTTTACATGTATTTAGCAATTTATTTTTCTGTTATGGTTAATATGAGAAACTGTTTGTATAATAGCAGTTAAAAATAAAATATACTGTTACCTAACTTTAAATAAAATGTAGATTACAAGTTTAAAAACAGTATTGAGTTCTTCTATGAAATAATATATATTTTTTCATAAGCAATGACTTTTTTAATGCATTAAATGTTACCATTTTAATTTTAATGTCGAAATTTTAATGTTTCTATATAATTAATGTTGCTCTTTTAATTTTTATTAATTTTGGATTGAATATAATACTACTTGAACCGGTTTAACTTGATTGATCTTAAAAAATTAAAGTATATTTTAGTAGTGAAAATTGTTCTTGTTTTTAAGATAATTATCTTCTATTCTTCCTTTCAAAATTTTTTAAGATATTAATTAATGAGATTTTCTTAGTATCTTTTAACCAATGTTCTCAAACTATGGGGGTGAGAACTCCAAGAGAGGCACAAGCATAATGAAAGAGTGATGCTATTTATTTAAATAAACGTGCAAAATATACAAAAGTCTTATACGAAAACTCCGATTCAGGAAAACAGGATTGATTGTTGGTTTAAAACTTATTTTGGAAGAGTGTTTTCATAATGTAGTGCATTTCAAAGTGTAATCTGATTTCAAAAATGAGGATTTATGTCTACTATAATTTGTCTTTCTTTTAAAGTCATCTAGTCTTCTTGCTTGAGTAGTAGTGACGTAAGATTCCTTTTATATATGATTTTATGTCAACAGAACAGATCATACCATTGCTTTAATATACTCTTAAAAGTATAAAAGTAAAATACCTTTAAGGAGAAATATCAGAACAATTAGCAAAAAATGACTTAATTTATGAAAGGACTTAATGTTTTCTATTGAAACTATTCTAAATATATTATTATATTTAAACTATAATAAAGTTAACATATCTCTTCTAATTCAGTGGAAGATCTTTTACTTTTTATTGTTAACTAATACATTTTTATTTGTGTCCTAGAGATAACTAAAAATTTATATTAATAATTTTTAAATGATCAAATTATGCCGCAATGTTAAGTAAAACTTTAATATTTTCTATAATGGTGATAACAATGGTGAGAGCAATTAAAATCGTATGTTATAGTTAACCACCTTATCACTGGTGGTCAACTATAATATATGGTTTTAATTGTTTTTTCGAAAGTTATTTTAGTTATCTTCAGATTTTACGGAAGTATTGATGTCAAAGTTAGTAAAATGAAGTTTTTTAATTTGTTTTAAGGGTTTTAGTACCAACAGAGCAACGAGTAAAGCTGTGGGCAATATCTCTTGAAGACTTGCTAAATGATCCTACCGGCATTAAAGAATTTGAGCGATATCTACAAACAGAATATAGTCATGAGAATATTCTGTTTTGGAAAGCAGTGCAGTCTCTAAGACGTGGTGGTAAGACAGATATCGAGAAAAAAGTTCAAGCAATTTACAAGTAATTTTGTGCACTTTCTTTCTTTTAAATGTTATATTTGTGGCTGTAATTGGTCAGAAAAAATTATTTGTTTTCATCTGCTTTATTTTGAAATTAGGTTTTATGTATTCTGAATTTTATGTTATTGTTTGTGATATGAAGCAAAAGTATTGAGAGCAGGTTGACAGCTTTTTGTCTCACTAAGTCCTTAATGCATGCTTTTTATTTAAATTTTTTTTTTTGATTTAGGTTTAATGTAATTTTAAAATTTCTAGTAGTTAGAAAAACTTTTTAGTTACTACTTATAAATGTTTTGAAGACTATGGCAGTTTGGTGTGAACAGACTGGCCATTTACTTTGAAAATTTGAATTCTCTGGGATTTTGGAAATGTTACTACATTTAAAAACCTAGAATTTTTGGGGACAATTCACTATAAACTCTCAAAATTCTTTTTTTTTTTTAAATATATTTTTCGAGTATTCTTTCCACATATTCAATATCCATAGCTCTTAGAGTTATTATTATTTTTTTTTTAGAAATTTTTGCATTTAAAGTGATTACAAGTTATATGCTTTAATGTTTGATTTTTATTTTGATAAATTTTATTTAAAATTGTGACTGTCACAACATGTAAATTGAACTTCACATATAAGATATAAAAGTATTTATGATTTTTAGAAGTGCTTTCGAAATGAATAAAAACTTTTGTGCTTACAATGGTCATTCTATTACAGCTAGGAAAAATTGACCTCATATTTAAAAATTGCTAAATTATTCATGAACTGGTATTTTAATGAATAAATTAGCACCTTTTTTGTGTTTGTTGTTTTGATTTTCTTTTTAGGAATAATTTATTTTTAAATTGAATTTCTTTAAATTCTCCAGTTATAAATTTCAAACAATATATACTTAATTTTTTTTTAAATACTAACTGTTGTAAAACTTTTACCTGAATTTAATTTAGCATCTATAATCTTTTAATAAATTTAATTACATGTTTCTCAAATTTTACCATGAGAAATGAAGAAGTTTGATTTTGTCTCGAATGTGGTCATCCTTGGTATGACATGTCTACTTTTTGATAAAATATTTGTATTGAAAGATGATGCATTTTTTTAAAAATCAAATTCCAAAATTTAGCTAAATATTTTGTTTAATCTTTCATTAAAGCTTATAGTAAAGTTATAAAAAACTCATCATTTATATTTCTTTCTAGAAATGCTTTACAGTTTGCTCAACTGAAGCATTTTACTGTGCAACATTCTGTGAATCAGAAACTCTCTTAAGATAGTGTATTTTTTTCAGAAGCAAAATTTAAAAAAAGAAATTGTTAATAATTTAAAATGGAACAACAAAAATCAGAATTGAAAGAAAATGCAGTGTTAATAAAATTTTGTTCACCTTCTTACACAACATCTTGTTACAAAATATTGTTGTGCCACAATTTGAGATTCAAAAAGTTGTTTTAGCAAATAATTAAGAAAATTAAAATTAAATGAAGGGAAATGATTATGAAAATTTATAAAATTGTTTTCTTTAGAAATTGTGTTCAATTTCTTATGATAAAAAAAATATGAATTTTTGTCGTGTGAAATTCGTTATAAAAAATTGGAATCTAAAGTATTCTTATACTTTTGAAGTATATAGAAACATCATTTTTTGTTTCTTGTTCATAAAAAAACCCTAATTAAAAATAAAATCATTCATTAATGAGATTATTTCATATTTAAGAATTTAAAAAAGGCAGGTAACTAAGTTATATAGGCATTTGTTTCAGGGGGAAAAAATCATCAATTTTGATTGAGAAGGTAAAGTTAATTAGTTAAGAAAAGTCAAAGTAAAGTTTTTAGATTAGTCTATTTTTTATGACTTGTCTGTGAAGTTCTAAGCTATGATAAAACATTTATGGTACATTTGAAAGTTCAATCTAGTTTAGGACACTGCAATATGTCAATGCTCTAAATTATTATGCAGTTTATATTACCTCAAAGGATTTGTAGATTGTAATTTGAAACACTATGCTTATACAAAAGCATGTTACATGTTCATCACTTTGTTTTAATATGCTTTTAGTTTGCAACACCGTGCAATTATACGAGTTTAAAATAACCAGCCCAACGAATTTTGACATTATCTTTTGTTTGACTTGTGCTAACATCTATGTTTTGTGCATTTATCTAAATGTTTTTATGCAAATCAAGGAGCACATCACATGAAAACATGTAGTGATATTTGTTTTATTTAACTTTTGAATATTGTTTTTACCAACACTACTCTGCAAATTTCACAAGATTTCTTCTCAATACCAGACTACCATGCTAACGAAGAGAAGTCACTTGAAATAGTGACATGGAGTTAGCTGTGTCACTTTGGTTTGGTTTTGGAGAACATAATTTATTTAATTCTCTCACTGTAGAAATGGTTTTATTCTCAATTCCATGGTAATTCATACCTTTTACTTTCACTTAAGAGAGTCATAGCGAAAATTGGCCAGTACTTGATGCTTTTAAAAAGATAAATTGTTTTTCTACAACTGGCTAATTAATGTTATAATTTTCAGTATTAGATATCCCAAATTCAATTACCTATTTTGTTTTTAAACTATTTTACAAACTTGATTATTATAATATGTACTTTATATTTTTACCCCTTAATGCATAGACACACTCCTTTCTGTTTATTTTTCATTTCCTCGAAATATCTGCACATTTTATTTTTAAAGTTATTTCCATTTGTGCTGAAATTGCTTTTCATACTCTAAAGAGACATTGATAAATTGAAATAGCTTTTAAAGAAATATGTAAGTTTCTATGGGGCTAATTCATAGATTCAACAAATAATTTATACTCTAAGTCAGCGTTTCCCAAAGAATGGTATGTTTAATGTACCCTGCTAAGCAGTTTAGGAAACAGTTTAGCAGGGGTACGCATTCTTATGCAAAATATCTTGCAACAAAAGAAAATTTCAAAACATTTATCTAAAAACAAAGCTAACCATCAAAATTTACGATTACATATTTTTCTATTGGCTATTTTTTGCAGAGTTAACAGTTAATAATTAATGGTGTCAGCAGCCAGTTGTGATTTTTAACTTTTGTGAAATTTTTTATACTAAAAAAATAAATTTTTTTTTTTATCAGTGGTACACAGCGTTGAGAAAAATTTAGAAAGAGTACACAAAAGTCATAAGTTTGGGAAACACTGCTTTAAGCGAACGATTTAAGCCAAACTGCTTACATAAGAATAATATATTGTTTGGACGAGAAATGCATTGTACTGACGAGATAAATCGTAACAATAAAACATTATCGCTAAGTTCTAGTCATTTATTTTTTTAAAGAAAAATATGTTAGGCAATATTTTAAAGCTAAGTAGTCTTAAATATTGTTCAGGAAGTTTCATAAAAGCCAGTTTTAATGCATCCGTTAAAAGAGAAAACGAGAAGGAAATTGTAAATGTGTCTGCTTGATAAAAGAATTACAGTTAAATTTATAAAGCATTATTGTTAACATCCTCAAACTAAAAAGAGAAACTTTTTCAACTGATATTAGCTAATTTTTAAATATTACTTGAACCATAATGCTTTAGCCCAGCATTTTAAAAAAGAATTTCTTAATTAAAAAATATTAAAGTACTAAATGACAAGAATACAAAAAGAAAGATATCTAAATTATGAATAAAAATAAGAAATTAATGCTTGTATGTTTTCTTATATATATTTTCTATGTTTTATATGTTTCTCTTTGTATATGTTTATATATATATATATATTGTAGCATATCAAGTTATATTAAAGAACTGTTCAGTTTTTTTTTATAAAAAACTTTTATTTACAAACAACACAAACAGTAACAAATATGAATTACCCCGTAACGGGATAGTGAAAAGATCATAAAACAGCAAGAAAAACACGTAACGGGATATAAGGAAACTCACACGTAGCGGGATAGATAAAATATTATAAAACAACTAGATAAAGTGCCCGTAACGGAATATATGAAAACTCAAATTCCACACAAAACTAATTCTAAAAAATCAGCAACTTTCTGGTGTTCTAATTTTATCGTCTGCTTTAATTATTTAAATTTATCTTTTCATGCGTTTATTTTATTTATGCTTTTGCCAGCCCGTTAGTTTTTAATATTTTTACTTCTATTCATGCTTTTGCAAACCAATTATCTTTCTTATATTTTTAGACTTTATACTACCTAAAACACTTTTTCATTATAATACATAGCTTTAAATGCATAGCAACCATTCTGAAGCAAATGATTGAAATTTAAAGACTAAATGAAAAAGAGAATTTGAAGAATACTTTTAAGATTAAAACAAAGTTTCAATTACCAAACCATAATTTTAATTTAAAATTGTGATTTTTTTCTTGGTTTTCTTGGTTTCTTGATTTTTAAAATGACAAAATAAATACAACAGATTGTATTTATAAATCTAGTCATTCATCAAAAAATAAATAAATATTTAATCTATATATTTTTACATTAAAATATTCATTTTTTATTCTATACCAAAATAGATAAGTTGAGCTAAATTTTTTTACAAGAATTTGTGTACTCATTTAAATTTTTTTTTCCTCAAAATTTCCTTATAGAAAATCTGATAATGTCAAAGATATTGTAAACATATTATGAGAAAAAAATACTTAAAACTTTAATCTGTACTTTCAATATCAAGAATCAAAAGANCTTTCAAGAAGCATTTGTAAAATGGGCAAACATGAAAGAAAGGAAGATTGTTAATTATAAACCAAAATGTTTTGATAAATAATAAATGTGTTTTTTTTTGTTATAGGTATTCTTTTTGATATTCTTGTACATTAAGCTATTCTTTGTCAGATAACTTACAGTACTTGTTTGATATAAAGTAATTTTATAAGCCTAATGGCATTTTAGCATTTTGCTAAAACTTTTTTTCGGATTTTAGCTTTTTTGCTAATGAATTTTTAGACTCAGCTTAAACCCTGTCCTGGGTAGTACATGTTTACTTTTTGATAAAATATTTGTATTGAAAGATGATGCATTTTTTAAAAATCAAATTCCAAAATTTAGCTGAAGTATTTTACTGTGCAACATTCTGTGATTCAGAAACTCTCTTAAGATAGTGTATTTTTTTTGGAACCAAAATTTAAAAAAAGAAATTGTTAATAATTTGAAATAGAACAACAAAAATCAGAATTGAAAGAAAATGCAGTGATAATAGAATTTTGTTCACTTTCTTACACAACGTCTTGTTGCAAAATATTGTTGTGACACAATTTGAGATTCAAAAAGTTGTTTTAGCAAACAATTAAGAAAAACTAAAAATAAATGAAAGGAAATGATTATGAAAATTTATAAAATTGTTTTCTCTAGAAATTGTGTCCAATTTCTTATGATAAAAAAAAAAGAATTTCTGTTGTGACAAATAATTTTTAATAACTTGTATTAATGCACAAATACATTCTGTATGCAAATAATTACAGTTGAACAAGTTGTACTGTAGTGTGTAGATGTGCCAAATTTTAAATTCTAATTATTTTTGCATATTCGTTATAAAAAATTAGAATCTAAAGTATTCTTATACTTCTGAAGTATACAGAAACATAATATTCTGTTTCTTGTTCGTAAAAAACCCCTAATTAAAAAATTAAATTATTTGTTAATGAGATTGTTTCATGTTTAAGCATTTAAAAAGGCAGGTAACTAAGTTTTATAAGCATTTCTTCAAAGTGTAACATTTATATAAGTTGGAATCAAGCATCTGTATCAGAGGGAAAAATCGACAATTTTGATTGGGAAGGTAAATTTAATTAGTTAAGAAAAGTTAAAGTTATTTTTTGTGACTTGTCTGTGAAGTTCTAAGCTGTGATATAACATTTATGTTACACTTGAAAGTTCAATTTAATTTAGGACACTGCAATATGTCAATGCTCTAAATTATTATGCAGTTTATTTTACCTCAAAGGATTTGTAGATTATAATTTGAAACTCTATGCTGATACAGAAACACATTACATGCTCATCACTTTGTTTTAATATGCTTTTAGTTTGCAACGCCGTGAAATTTTTCAAGTTTAAAATATCCAGCCCAATGAGTTTACATTATCTTTTGCTTGACTTGTGCTAACATCTATGTTTTGTGCATTTATCTAAATGTTTTTATGTAAATCAAGGAGCACATCACATGAAAACATGTAATGATATTTGTTTTATTTAACTTTTGAATATTGTTTTTACCAACACTTCTCTGCAAATTTCACAAGATTTCTTCTCAATACCAGACTAGCATGCTAACGAAGATAAGTCACTTGGAATAGGGACATGGAGTTAGCTGTGTCACTTTGGTTTGGTTTTGGAGAACATAATTTATTTAATATTTCCACAGTAGGTTTTACTTTCGTTTCCATGGCAATAGGTTATCTGTTACTTTCACTTAAGAGAGTTATAGCGAAAATTGGCCAGTACTTAATGCATTTAAAAAGATAAATTGTCTTTCTACAACTGGCTAATTAATGTTATAATTTTCAGTATTAGATATCCCAAATTCAATTATACTGTTTTTAAACTATTTTACAAACTTGATTATTATGGTATGTGCTTTATGTTCAGGGGTCTGTTTAGAAGAAATTTGGGTCCGTTAACAAAATAATTTATCTTTTAAATAATTTATCTTTTCCTTCACAAAATAATTTATCTTTTAATAAAGATAAACAAATTTGTGAAGGGTCCGATTAAGTTTTGTTTATCGAATAAACCCTTCAACGGAAAGGGGGGAAAGAAAGACAAACGTAAACAAACTATTTAAGTTTTGTCTTCGTCAGACGCTTCTTCCTTTATTCGTCCGAAATGAATATTCTGTTTTCAGCAGTATAGGCTAAATACCAAGTATTTGTATGTTGCATCTCTAATTTAGTAGCAGCAATTGCTGTTTATTTCTTGAAATTTAATTTTTTTATTATAATTTTACAGTGTTGAGCATAATCTTGTATGTCTTTACAATTTAAAAACACTTTGAAAAAGTTTTTTGCAATAACAGGACCCTATTTGCACAAATTCACGAAAGCAGGACCCTGGTTGAAAGAATGTGAAATAACGTTTATTTTATATTCACATATTACGAGTAATTTTTTTCACAATTTTACAAAAACGGACCTTTTACAAAATGTCTGGACAGACCCCTGATATTTTTACTCTTTTATGCATATACATACTCCTTATTATTTCTTTTTCATTTCCTCGGAATATCTGCACATTTTATTTTTAAAGTTGTTTCCATTTGTGTAAGAAATTGCTTTTCATACTTCAAATAGACATTGATAAATTGAAATGGCTTTTAAAGAAATATGTAAGTTGCTATGGGGTTAATCCATAGATTAAATAAATAGTTTATACTCTAAAGTGACACAGATAAATCTCTTTGCCGTGAAATTCCATAACTATCGAAGTAGTTTATTTAAAAAAAAATATGTAAGTTGCAATGGACTTCATTCATGGATTAAACAAATATCGATTTCTGTGTTTATAAATTAATTGTTGTTGATTTTCACTTTCAAAGAAATTTTGAATTCGTAAAGTAAATAAATATTTTCATTAATTTCTTTTATTTATTCAATTCTAGTGAATTCCTTTGTCCCAATGCTCCCTGTGAAGTAAATCTTGATAGTAGCACAATAGAAAGTGTGCAAGAAGCTATGAAAAAACCAACTCGATACACGTTTGATTCTGCACTGCTTCATGTTTATTCCCTTATGGAAAAAGATACCTACCCGAGGTTTCTTCGATCTGAACATTACAGAAATTTACTCCTTAATTCTTTACATCCATCTCATAAGAAGAAGTAAGTCGTTTTGTGATAGTTTTGTACAGCAATTGATTTTATAAAGAAATTTAATTATAGAAAGTAGTTATATTTTGTGATAAGATTTGTAATTTTAATACAAATGCTACCAATTTTCTTAAAAAAGAATTGTTTCAAATGTTCTCCATGTTATTGCTCAAATTTCTTGCTATTCCAAGGTGGTTTTAAGAGTTGTAACAGAAGGAGCTGTAAATTTCATTAAAAATTATAAGCAAGCTTTCGGTCAATATTGTAAGATATTTTTGTTTTGAATTAATTGTTTATCATGAAAGGTTAATTGGTATCTTTTTCAGTTTGAATTTGTAATTTTTATTGAAAAATATTAACAAACATTTGGTCAATATTATAAGCTATGTTTTTCTTTAAAACGTTGTTTAACATGTAAGCTTAAGCTGGCATTTTTCGTCATCTTAATTTAGCTTACATGGTAAATACAGTAGTTATGTATAAATGTTAATTATACAAAAAAGAGGATATTAAATTAAAAGAACTGAAAACAGGAAACAAATATTACTAGGACTCAATTTGAATTAGTGTTAATTATGAAAAAACATTCTCCTTATGATTTTTTTGTGTATTATTTATGACTTTTTTGCATGAAGGGTATTCTGTACATAACTTTTTATGCTGATCTACAAGAAAGAGTATGGCAATAATCATATAACTCTCTAATTTGCATAAATATTTTTAAAAAACTTGTTGAACTTAAGCATTTCTGTCTAACTTAATTGTACTCAAAGTTAAAAATACTTTGGTTTTTAGGTTAAATCTCTTTGCATAGTTTTAAAAAATTCACAATAACAAACATTATTATAATTAAATCTCCATTGATGAGTTTCGAAACAATGAGTTTTAAGTGAACTTAGCAATGAGTTATTGCAAAAATAATACAAATAAAATTTTTTTTCATTAACTTTAGGATGCTTTTTAAGGGGCATTTTTTTTTAGAAACTGCAGTTACTGGGAGTTAAATCCAGATGACCTATTTCACACTACTTTTGTTATTCTTAGTATAGGAAGACATTTACATTTTTCTAGTGTATGTTTCTCAGTTTTGGCTTTCTTTAATTTTGCCTTGATACAATTATATTTTATTTACAACATAATGAAAAATATAGCAGATTGTATGGATTGGATTTGTGATAATTTAGGCAGAAATTAAATTTAATGGAAGATAATACTTCACATAACTGCAGACCATATATATATATATATATATATATATGATGAAAATAAAACACGTCGTTATTCAGAAAAAAGCTTTTTATTTTGTAAAATACTAATAAGCTCGTGCTACAAAAATGAAGATTTAAGTAACATTTTAAGCAAAATAATGAATTTAGAATGATGATTGAAGGACAGGACATGAGACAAATCCCCCACAACCTGCCTGAATATAAGCTAATTCAAAACTAATATTCAATCAACGCTTTCGGGGTATAGAAGAGATTCATTATGGGTATGTAATCAAAGGAGGACATTGCCAAAAGTCAAGTTAATGCAGCCAACCTTTTGATATTTCATGTTAATCTTTAAATTATTCATCTAATGCCTTAAGGCAGAAAAGTTCAGTGGAAATTCAAGTAAACCTAATAATGTATATGCTAATGTTTAATGTAATTGAAAACCAAAAAATGAAAAATATATTTTGATGCTCAGTTGTCATGACTTTGTATAATAATTTAATGAAAAACTCTTTTTAAATTTAATTTGTTTTCTTTTTTGAAAAATATTTATTTTATTATTAGGTTCTTCAATTTTGGAGCTGGTGTTCGTAAAAAAATGGTGAGTGCTACTGGTGCCAAGAGGAGAAATAATCCAAGCCACTTGTCTGGTAGTTCAGTGGACTTGACACATATGAGTCACAGTTTAGAAATGGAAGAACCATCCATGTCTAGTAGGCATTCTCACTCAACCAGTGACCTCCATGACCTTGGTATACCTGGGGAAAACCTAGCCTCCAGCAGGTAAATTCAAAATATATTTTTTCAATACTTTATGTAATTTATATCATAAAGTTTATTGGATTGAGACCAAAAGTTTATTGTAACCATTGACTTATTTATTATTACCATCATGCTTGTCAGGAATTTTAAAATTTGATATTCATTGTTCTAATAAGGTCTTCAATTGAACCAGGAAAGATAGAAATATTGTCAAGCAATGAAACTTATAAAACCATTTTAGTACTTTGTCATCTTTTTATTCTTTATGGTTTGAGAGGCTTGTTTAAGGTATATTAATTAATTTGGGAAAGCGAAAATGAGAGTTGCAAAATTAACCAAAAATGTATAATTTCCCTTATAAACATAGTCTTTTTTGTTGAACCTCAAAATAAAAGAGATTACTATAATTTCTAAGATATAGTCTCACTAGTTAGTGTACTTAAGAGACTGATTGAACATTTGGATGCCTTGCTTTTACTAATTACATTTTTTATTCTCTTATTGGAAAAAAACCCAACAACTTTTAAACTTGTTTACCTAAAGATTCTTAAGGTTTAAAATTTTTTATTTTAATGACCTCGGACACAAGGTGCACAATGTTAAGGGGTGATAACACACAACTGTACAAGCCTAATGCACCATACAACCTATGTTAGGAATTAATTTTTAAAGTATTAGAGAATGAGAATAATTGAATGGAATAAAAACCATGTTCATATTACTAACATTAATTTTGTTGTGGACACATAACGTGTTCAGTGATGCAGGTGGCAATATTAAAAAAAAGCTGTTAGACTGTACCGTTGTATTGCTGCAACCATCTTTGTTATGTAATTTAATTTTTTATGTTTTGATATTTCCCCCCGACTGCACTGTTTTTATTAAAATTGCTTTTAATTTATTTTTATGATGCATTTTGGCTAGCCTCTTTTTTTTTCTTAGTTGGTCCTGGACGTTTATCAGTGTTAATGAAATATGTTCTTAGCTACCTATTTTTGTGGCATTTTTTATATCTGTCATCATTGTGTGAAATTAGTTAATGAGAGTGAAGGCTGTGATGGAGAAACAGAAATAGACAATTCTTGTCTTAAAAGGGAGATAAAAGCAATTAAGTTTAACCAGAGCAGTGCAGCCTTGGAAAAGGACCAAACCATAGGAAAATTAAACAAATTGCATGACAAAGATGGTTGTACCAAGAGTGCTTTTCAGTCAAACATGTTTCAGCTGGAAGATCCTATCAGCAGTTACCACAGTAAATTACCAGTTTTATGTAGGATAAAATGTATAAAAGGAGTATAAGAATAAAAGTCATAGCAAGAAACATTTTGAAGTGAATGATCAATCCGCCTTCATTGGTGGTTTTTTGCAAAATATTGCAGAAAACCACCTGCTCGTTAAGAGAAGCACTCTTGCGGTTCAAATATTAGTTAAAAATATATTTTGTGTTTGAATATGGGTTCTATAGTGTATCCCAACTAAAAGCGACCTTAATTTTTTACCATAACTAGAGGCATAACTTATGTATATTTTAAGAAAGTTTATATCTAAAGACATATTTATAAGAGTTTTTTACTTTCTGAACCACCTGGACAGGAAAAAAAACATAAAATAAGTAAAAGTGGAAGGAAAAAGATGTCCTATCGAAATAAAATCACTTCTGGTTATAGCTAATATGTTTGCCATGTTTATTGAATGAGTAGAAATACATGATTTGTACCATTTACCAAATCTAGGAGGACATTAGCATCAATATTATCCAAGGCTTCAAGGATGGTAGCCTTCTATTCTGCCACAAATTAATGCTACTTTTTGGTATATTCAGTCTTACTGAGAATAACACTCACATTTTCATGGGGATATAGATCAGGTAAAAGGGCAAGCCATTGATAACGTGCAACTTGTTATTCAAAACTAAAATTCTGTGAAGATTTTGCAAAGTAAAAAACCGACTTAAGCCACCAGTTTTCTCTGCAAAGAGCAATAAAGGGATTTCTAGAATTTTCCAATTCCCAGCATCCTTTATACAGCCCGAAGGAAAGGCTAGGTTATTTTTTTTGCCATGTCTGAAGCCTTCCAACACAAAAACTGAGCTAACATCTTGTTATATAATTGAGAAAACAATCCTCTTTTTTCATGCCATTGTAATAGCACACAAAACTGTCTGAGTCATTTAAATTTTTTCTATTATTTTAATTTTTTTAATTTTTTCTATAGAATGAAACCGCAAATGAGAAATTCTTCTCCAAATGGACAGTAACATGGAGGTTTATAAATACTATGAAAAGACTTCAGTTAAGGTGGTAAACTTAAAGTAGCATTTTCCCCAGGCCGCATGAAGGCTATTGATTACCAAAAAATTCTAGAAGTTTATTTACTGGCATTAAAAGTGAGACTTGTTGACTCAAGTCCGGTTTTCTTACGAGAGAATGCCTTCATTCATGTTGCCAAATCATTAGAGTGCCTTTGTATAATAAGGTGCTTGTCATGAATGATTTGTCTTCTCTCATGACTGCAGTCCCCAAGAAAATGTGAAGTGTTATCCCCACTAAGATTGTATACACAAAAAATAATAGCTTCAGAGTGTGGCAGAATTGAAGACTACCATCATTGAGCCTTGACATAATATCGATGCGAGCGGTGGTGGCTCCGGATATAGAGCGTTCATCTTCCAATGAGGTGAACCAGATTCGAATCCTAAGGATGGCTGGTCAATACGAATTCAGCCCCCAATTCACATCGACCACAGTGCTGATGTAAAGCATCCTCAGTGGTAGACGAATTATGGGTTACAGTCCCCTTAGAGGCTAACCGTGAGAGGTTTTCATGGTTTTCCTCACCATGTAACACAAATGTGGGTTAGATCCATCGAAAAGTCTGCCACCAAGGCAAAATTTCTCTCAATACTTGATCCAGCAGTTCCTTTGTCTTCTCGATTGGGTTCAAAATTACAATGTTACGAAGTTGAACTTTAATAGTTGTAAGACCAAAATTGGATTGACTGTTCAACAATGGTTATGAATTACAAAATAAAATAATAATGATGTGATTGTCCTGGGATTCGTAAACGGTGTGCAACGTCACATATTTGAATTCCTTTTGGCTATAAGAAGTGGCTTATTTTGATGAGAGACTTTTTTACTTAGTCAATGTTTTTCTTCTGTCTAGGTTCTGTCAGGAAGTGAGTTATTCCTCATAAAAATTTATTTAAATATAGTTCATAATATATTGTTATATATATATTTGGTTCTCTTTAGTTTTCTTTGCCTTTAGTTATAGAACTAAATAAAGGTAGCTTTATTTAGTTGTGACACACTGTATTACTAGTTTGTTCTAATACGCCCTAACGTATGCATTATGAGTTCAGATACACCATGTCTAATTTAAAATATTGTCAGGCTATCAAGAATTATTTAGTTATTTAAAACCAATGTGACTAAATTTTATAAATTTGTATTTAAATAAATTATTAAAGACATTCATTGTACATAGAGAAAAAATGCTATTTAATGATAATTGTTTTTAGAATTTTAGCATTTTGTTAAAATTGATCAGACTTTATATCAAATGCTGTTTAAATCAATGATAGAATTGAAGTATTTGGCATTATGTGAGTTTAAATAAAAGCTTCTCTTTGATTGATCCATGTTTTGTCATTAAAAATTCTACAGAACTTCTCCTGTAAATTCATATTGGCTCTCTGTTGAGTTTTTAATTTAAATATAGTTCAGAGATTAACTTACCTTGAAATTCATATGATACAGAATTCCTGAGTATCATTTATTCTTGCTTTTTAATTCTCTCTCCAATTCTATTATTTTCATCTATATTATTTACGATCCAATTCTATTATTTTCTAATGAAGTTAATATTGTGTATTTGGCTCTGTAAGAAAAATGAATGAAATAATTGAAAAAAGAATAAATGTGGATCATTAATTGGTAAGTACTGGGCCCTGTGTACTTTTCCATGCTAAATTGAATGAGACTAAAAACAAATCGATAGGACTAAAAGTTTAAAAGTTATAAGAATTTAAAAAACTGCAATTAAGTATTTTTATGCATCAAATCTTTATTACTCCAAAACTATTAGCTAGATCATATTACTTTTGATTTTATTGAACTTCATGTTATAAAATTCATAAAACACAATGTCTTTCTTGCTTAGAGAGCAATTCCAGTGGCAGTAACTACAAAAATTAGTATATGAAGGAGGGCAATCAAATATTTAAGCTCTCTTTATTGTTAATTTATTTTTTTCAGTACTCATTTATATATCTGAAACTTTTTTCAGGTAAGTAAATATAAAATAAATTTTTTCAAAGATAGTACCATACAAAAAAGAATATTTCTTATTAACATAAAAATTTTTTTGAGTTATAAATTATACACATTTTAAACCACCAAAATCGGTTGAATAGTTTCTGAGTTATAAAATTTCAGAAAAGTTATATATTTAAGTTTTATAACTCTAGAAAGAGAGCGAGAGAAAGAGATAGTTATAAAACTTAAAAACACAACTTTTTTAAAATTTTATAACTCAGAAACTGTTCGGCCATTTTTGTTCAAATTTGTATTTTGATATCCAATATTTGTATATTTTAGAATTGTAAAAATTTTTTGTGCATGTGTTATTATCTTTCAGAAAATTAATTTTATAAATTATGTGTAAAAAATTTTCAGGGATATCAATAAGTACTCAAAAAGTGAAATTAACATTAAAAAGAGCTGAAACAGTTTGGGTTGAAGCTACCCTCTTGCCTTTCTATATGAACCAGAATGCAGCCACAGTGCATATTTTGATGGTGAAAAAAGGAAAATGAATGTCTTGGTTTTCATACATAAATGCAATTTTAGTACTTATAATTAATTCCAAGTAGATCCGACTAATAATTTAGAAGTTATAAATGTTTCATGATCGAAAAGTAAAACTTTTATGCATTTGACAATGCTGTGTGCATGCTAAAACAAGTAAGGCCTGATTTTTTATACAACAGTTTTCCTTTCTTTTTTATCATCAAAATACGCACCATGGCTGCATTCTGGTTAGTAGTAAGGTAGGAGGTTTGTTTCAACCCCAAATGTTTCTCTTCTTTTAGTGTTAATTTCACTTTTTGAGTACTTATTGATGTCCTTGAAACTTTTTAACAGATAATTATAAAATTCATTTACTCAAAGATAATAACACACACAAAATTTTTTTTTATGTACAGTCAACATTTTTTGAATTTTAAAATATACAAATATTGAATGCCCAAATACAAATGTGGACAAAAATGGCCAAATAGTTTCTGAGTTATAAAATTTAAGAAAACATTGGGTTTTTAAATTTTATTACTCTCTCTCTTTCTCTCTATAGTTATAAAATTTAAAATTAAAACTTTTCTGAAATTTTATAACTAAAAAAAAATTTCTTTTTTTTTTGTATGGTACTTACTATCTTTGAATAGATTAATTTTATAATTACTTACCTGAAAAAAGTTTCAGATATATGAATGAGTACTCATAAAGTGAAATAAACTATAAAGGGAGCTTAAACATTTGATAGCCCTTCTACATAAACTGTATAGACCATATTTTTTATATATACACGCACACATTATTTTTGAAATTTCGTAATTAAGGTTTTCTTGTATGTGGCTGAAGCAAAAATTTTTTTCTTATAATCTTTTAAATAAGTTAGTTTATCATAATAACCATTTTCTAGTATTATAAATGAAAAAAATGATTTTTAAGGTTCATTGTCCCATTAAATTTTTGGTTTATAAGTATTACTTTAGATTACACTCTATAACTATAGACTAATTGTTTAAAAATAATAATAAACTACTGTATGACTGTTAATTAACTTATGAGGAACTAAAACTTTTAATTCATGTGATAATTTATCAGCAATGTTCCCTTTAAATACTATTATGAGTTAATAAAAGCAGATTACCTTTTATTATGGAGTAATAGTGTTTTCATTCATTTTGCCCATTAGGTTGTCTTCACCCTCAAGTTCTCGTGACAATGTACCGGAGGACAATCCCAATACTCTTCAGGTGCCACGACTTTCTCCTGGTGGGGGAGACACAGAAACGTCTGTAAGTGTGTCCCTTACTGTACCCTGCCGCCCTACAAGTGTTGTTGCACCATGGGAAACAGAAGGCTGAACCAATGTTTTATTTTTCTCCCTTTTTCAAGCTTCTTTTTATGTAAACCTTCTGAGCAACCACAGACTCAGTGCCTATAGTTATAATTGAACTATGCCTAAAAATTGTGAGCAAAGAATTTACTGGGCTCGCGAGAATGTTTTTCGCGATATTTGATCAAAATTTGTTCAGTTTTAGAACTATTTTATTATAAAGTCCTTTTAAAAATATTTTTAGAATTTTTTTTTTCTGCTGGAGATTTATTGTAACAATATGTTTTGTCAAATACTGTTGACCCTGCTTTAACAAATATTAGTTGTTCCAGTATTAGTTTTTTGATGATATGGGTTATTTGAGTGTGGGTAAAAACTTTATCTGAACCTAATTAATATTCAAGAGTAATTAAAACGAGTATTTATTTTAATTTTAAAGAGTGGACTTTTTAAGAAGAAAAAAAAAATGTAATAGATGCCCAAGTTAGTGTATGCATCCTTATCCACAAATTTTTTTTCTATTGTTGCTCTAAATTAGTATTAATTGCACATGAGAATTGGGTGCTACTTATAAATAAAATAAAACAATTTGATTGAAGCATAAAAAATGGTATGGAAATAGTTTTACTTCTGTATATAAGAACCTTCTTTAGAGTCTTAACACTGATTATTTTAGTCGTTTGTATTTAGACATTCAGATAGGTTCTTGTTCATTATAACTGAAACTATAGTGTGCCCATTTCTGTACCTTTAATTGTGCTTTATTCACATTATTTAACTTTATGCACAGTATTTATTGCTTTATCCGAGGAATCAATTCTATTAAATAGGGAACTTAGAACATTGGGGAGGGGAATAATTTAATTTATGATTAAGGATAGTTTTATTTGTTGGCTGGTTAGGCATGGTCAACAGTACTTTGTAGGTGCCTCTAAACAGTATATTATTTTAAATCTTAAAATCTCACATTATTCTAATGTTTTATAGTAAAGTTTAAAAAGACTTGAAACCTTATTTATTTATTTATTTTAGTCACATTCATTGTTTTATTTTTAGTCATTTGTTGATATGCTGCTATCATGTTATTATTTTAGTTTGTCCATTTCTAGTCATTGTTCATTGCATTAAAAATATTGACCTTTTCACCTCCAATTTTATTTTTATAATTTGTATGTATGTACCTGAGATAATGTCATAGCTTAATGAAAAATCACTTCCGCAAACATGTGAGCTATACTGCACTAACATACAATATCTGGCAGTAGGACACTGCACAATATTTTGTTCTCACATTTTTAACAGCAGTTACATGAAAACAGTTTGAAATAACATAAGGTACATAATTATTTCTTTTATTTCGGTTGTAGGGAACTACAATTAAAAAATAAATAAATAAAAAAAAACTTAGCACTTAATTTAGATTCATAAAAATTTGAAATCATTTGTTAAAATGTTTTACGTTTAAAACCTAATTATGAATAACTTGTGCTGATATTTATTTGTTAAGAAATGAAACAGTGGAGATATTTATTCTATTAAATTGTGTTTGTTTGTATTGTTTGTGATGCACAATATATACGGAATGGAGGTGAAGAGGTTATGAATAAGGGGTCGTTCAAAAAGTGTGTACACAAAAATGGAGAAATTTTAACCCCCTCCCCCCTTTGTACATTACCGTACATAAGGTCTTACCTCCCCCCCTTAGAGTAAGTACATTTCATTAGTATACCCCCCTTTTTCATAAAAATTAAAATAATTATGTTTTAAATAAAATTAAATATTTATTTAAGGAGTGTGTAGGAAAAAGTCAAATTTAAATTTGGTGTATGCTTATAATGTACGTACTTTGTATAATACCTCCCCCCTCCCCATCGTACAAAATGGTACAAATTAGCAAATCCCATCCCCTCTTCGGGATGTACGTACTTTTTGAATGGCCCCTAAGGCATTTCTTTAACATTTATTGTTCATATAGTGAATGTATTAGGCTAAACTATGTACCTATATGCCTGGTAGCAGAATTTACTGAGTCAATCTTTTGCACTGTTTTCATAAATTCAAACTTGTCGGGAACTCCAATACGGTAAGAGAGAGACTACTAATTAGGCTTAAGAATATAAATTAGGCTTTATATATTATGTATTTAGTAAAATTTGCAATTATAAAGTAATGTAAAAATTATTCATTAAAAAATTTATGTAGTTTACATTTAATTTAAATTTAATTTAAATTTATACCCTAATAAGTTTTAAAAAAAAATGGAATTGGAATTTTTGAAAATTAGTTATTGGAAAAATAATTCTTTTTTAAATTTAATTGATTTCAAAAATTTAAGTTAGTTTAAAAGATTAACGTGAAAATGAATTTAACTTGGTAATCCACTACTGCATTACTTCTGCTACTAGGCCTACATGTATTAATTTTATATTGTATATAATAATTAGTTTTATATATGTTGAGAACATTAAAAAAATATCTTGCTCTATGCCATTCTCTTAAAAAGTACAATGATAAGTGTTTGTTTTTTTGTCTGCTGGAATTTTGTTGATTTTGCTGTTACATTTATTTGACACTTTTAGTAGATAATTTAAGTTTAGTGAACCATAAATCATATCTTGTTAAGCTTTTTTCTCATGATTATTCCCATTTTTAATTATTCCTGTCTTGTGTTACATTTTTATATCTTGCTTTTTAAGATAATTATTAAGTATAATTTATTGGAAATATTTTTTTAAAGTATTTTTAATGTGGATATGAAATTGATTGTATGTATTTGAAATGAATAATATTGATTTTATCAAAATTTCAACAAGTATTTTTGCTTTTTATTTTATAATTACCAAAATATCATTTTTGTTAAATAGTCAATTTTTATTTCTTGCTGTTATTTTAAAAACACTTATAGTCTTTCCATTTTACTTTAATAAAATGTTAAGTTTTTCATTTAAAGTTATAGTTAATAACTATATTTGCTTATGTCAAAATACTTCTTTCTAAATTGAGTTTAAAGCTAATCATTAAACTTATATTTTTATGAAATAAGTTAAAAGCTCACATCTTCAGAAAAAAATTACAAAGCCCAACACAAATTATTTTTCCTCACAAATCATTGAAAGAAAAATTCTAGTTTGCCTTTAATAAATAATTTAGTTTAATAGTTGCTCGAGCGAGTAATTCTAGCGTGAGACGAAGAGGCCTACAGTTTTTAAATAAATGGCATGTATGTCCTAGTCTGCTTGTGATTAAAGAAAAAAAAATAAATGTTGTAGACTTTGTGAAATAAATGTAGAATGAGATATATTATTGTTCTTTATAGACATGTTATGTAAAAAGTGATTTCAGAGTTTATTGACATGATCTGAATGTGATACTTATACATATTATGTGTAAAAGTCTTTTTATTGCTTTAGCTGCCATTATCACTGTGTGTTGTTCTTAATTAAAACTAGAGCTGGGCAAAATGTCGATTACATCGTGAATTATTGATATTTTTTAAACATTGCATTAACATTATCTAAAATATATTGTTAATGCTACGTTTATGAGAAGTATAGAATGTAAACAGAAAATGGACCACAATTATATTGTGATCATTATTGCCAAAGGTATTTATTGATCGCAATATTATTGCAAAGTTTATAAATTTAATTTAGGTAATGGAAAATTGACCAATGTAAAAATAATATAAATTAGTTTTAAGGGAGAAATTTTGCAATATAGAGAGAAATATCGATATTTCCTGACAGTATATCGTGATGTTAAAATCTAATGTCGCCCAGCACATTAAAAACTAAAGTTTATTACTAATGGTGTTTCCTCAGGAGGCGTTCATTTAGAGATTTTATTTTAAAAAATAAATAAAAGTTTGAAATTGAGTAAATTTGTTTAATAAAAAATTAAATTTGAATATTTTTATGCTGCTTTTGTATGCTGCAACTGAAATAATTGTTATTGAATGACCTGGTGAAGTTGTAAATTTTTATTCATTAAAACTTAGAAGTTGCTTTTAATATATTTTTTTAATTAAGAAATTACTAACGAATGTCTTCCAAGTATTTTTCAATCCTAAAACATTTCAAATGGTATAGAATATTAGAAACTAGAATTAAATTTTCATCTATACAGACTAATCATTAATTTGTTTATGAGTTTTATGATATGAATAAATACATTATATGAATAAGAACATTAAAAAAAATTGAAAATTTTTTAGTGAGTTTTCTTTTTTGAGATAAAAAGCAAAACTGTGTTTGGTATTGTTTTACACTGTTTTGTTATTTTATTGATATTGTTAAAAAACATAATTTTTATGAAGTTCTTTAGCTAAAAGTATTTAACATATTTTTTTTAAAAATGCATATTTGTTGATTTTTTTATTAAAGTTATTTATTATTATTTTTTTTTAAATAAAGACAAAAATGCATCAAACCAATTTTATAAAAAGTTTTTATTTTAACGTTGACATTTTGTTTAAAACTTCTCTTTTTATTAATTTTATTTAGCACACATGCTATTAACTTAATTTAAGTAATATTTATTGTCTTTAGAGCAAATAAGTTACTAATGGAACGTATAATTTAAACAAATGAAATATTTTTCTATTTTTTTTTTAATTTTTTCATTTCAAACTATATTTTTGGGGGTAGGGTGGGATGTTTGTGCAGAATTATATATTATATTGAAAGATTTATTTTACATAAATATAAATGTTTTTGACATTGTATCAGATATGATTTTGTATTTTCTGTTAAAAGCAGAATAACACATAAATTAATATATAATTTTGTGCATATTTGTAATTTGAAAAGTCTATAATTTATTACGTAAGATTTAAGATTCTAAATTACAATGAAATAACGGTTATTTTTTATTCAATTTCATTGAAGCTTTAAATGTTATCTTCATATTTTTGTAAAAATAAATTTCTAGTACTAGAATTATCCTCCATAACTTCACCAGAGTTGTCTTCAAAAAAAGAAAGAAAAAATAATTTTTTTTAAACATTTAATGAAATTAATCTTATGCTGGGTGTTTAAAAACTCTTTTTTAGTATTTTCAATTCCTTTAACTCCTTTTCCTTTTACTAAATTTTATTAAAACTTTTTACTCAAGAAATTGCAGATGTTAAATCAGAAATAGCGCACACTATAAAATGTATTTATTGACTTACAAAGATGCTAATCAGTATGAAATAAAGCTAAAAATATTGACATTTTTAAGCTCACTATCATTTTAAAAAGGAATTGAGTCTTACACTTCTTTCATTTATTATAATTGTCACACTATTCAGCTAAGTCTTTTGTGACAGTTTTAGTGGTAGGTACACATTTGTAGGTGCTAATTTTTTCCCATAATTGTAATTTTTTTTAAAAATGTTACCTAATTTTGGTGTGTTAAAAACTGACTTCAATAATTATTTATCAATTGTTATTAGTTATTTTATTTCTTTGATTTTTCAATTGTTTTTTTAATTTTATTATTTTAGGCCATCATGATATTGTTTCCTAAGTGATTTTTTTAAATCTAGAAATTAAGTTATGATATTGTAGCGATGTTATAAAGATTTAAGTTTTTCTAAATTTGTTATTTCAATTGTGTTTTATTGGACCAGACCTGTTTGTATTCTTTTTAGAGAGTTTTCTCTCTACAACTCATTTAAACCTAGGTTGATAGGAAGATTTCATTGGTTTTAAACCAAAGACTGAATAATTGTTAAAAAATAAATACAGAAATAAATGCAAAAATAAAATTATTTGATTTTAACTCAGAGAAAACAAAATTCAACAAGAGTTTAAACGAATCGAAAATCGAGCGTTTTGTTAGCCTGTTTAATTTTTACTGGTGGCAGGCATCTAAAGAAAAAAATTTACTCATTTTTGCTGTTTAAAACAATTAATATTAATAAACGATGAAATAATTCATTATTAATTATTGAATTAATTTAAACATATTCGAAATTATTAAAATCATTAAAATTAATAAACGTTTATTTAATAATATTAAGAAACTAAGAATGAATGACTAATGACTAATAATTATTAGCTAATGTTACTAAATATTAATACTACCTATTATTACTTATTATTAACAATAAGTTAACAATTAATATAATTTTTATTGTTATGTCTTTCAAATAAATTCAGTCATTTTCATAAATTTTTCTTAGGACTTTTTAAACACCCTGTATACCACATTTTTTTTTAATTTTGAACGTGTTTTTAAATTATAATAATTCTTACGTGTACTAGGACCTATGCAATTAGTTCAATATGAGTTCAATGTGAGAAAGTTCACTCTTTGTCTGACATAAAAGAATGAACTAAAAGTGTTTACAACTCAAACTCATTCAACAATGGTGCAGTGTATGTAAATAAATAGCTTTATCGGCTTCATTGTATGTCTTTCTGCATATTATTTATTGCTCATTTTTTTAGAGCCTAAAAAGGTTTGAATAAGTTAACTAACAGTTGCAGTACCAACACACTCCAAAGTTGTGCTATAAGAAGTTTTTATTTTGCTGTATATATAATGTGTATTAAAAGATAAATAATGACGTCCAATACTGTGTTTTTTTCCTTCTAGTTTTAGCTTTGTGAATTAAATTAACTTTACATATCCCATGACACATTCTCATAAATTTACGTTTTAGGCGGCTCGGGCTCACATTGAGGAAGTGGCCGGGATAGCCTGCATCGGGCCCATGTCCGAGAGTTCGTGGGTTCAAACCCAGCCGGCCGACGACTCTCCGTGTAGTAAAGTGACTGATGCACGTTAAATCTGTCGAGTCGCAAAAGTCCTCGCATGTTCCCATAACAAATCAATACCTCTGGGGGTACTGGATTGGAGATTGATCGTTCTCTGATTCAGGTCAAAATTACGATCTGTGGATGAATGAATAGATGTATGAATGGGTCCCCACTATAAAACAGGTGTGACGTTTGGTGTGACAGAAGTCGTATTTTTGGCCATAGATGGCGCCACTGAAAAACAAGAAACGCACACTCTGCCTTAAATTTGCTCGGTTTCACCAAGCAGGCTTGCCCGTGTGGCAAGTAGCATTAGAAACAACCAACCAACTGAGGAAGTAAGAGGCATATAAGGGCGAATTTCATTGGAATGCGCAGAGGTGATGTGAGCATTCTAATGCATATTTCATAACAAACTATTTAATTTATGATATTATTTGCTATTTTTTTGAAAATACAAACTACGTTAGT